GTTTTCCTCCACTGGTGCCAGCTGCCCCTCTATCTCCTCTCCCTACCCCTCCCGGTGAGGACCCTTCAGACTCTGTCCTGTCCTTGGACCTCCATAGTCAGCTCCTGAAATCTGATGTGCTTCTATATACTGAACAGCTCCCAAGAACCCCCATCCAGCCCCAAACTCCCCCATGCTCCAGAATGATCTGTCCACTACTGATCAATACCTCCACTTGAATGTTGACATGAAACTTCAGATTTGCATGTCTGACATTAAACTTTGTACAGTGGTACCCCTCACGGCCTTTTTATCTTCCTGCTGGCAAACCTTCCCTTTGGATTGCAGGATCAAAGAACTCAGCTCTTCTGTGGCTTCTTTTTTTTCCTCACCCCTCACCTAATCTGTCAGCAAGTGCTGGTGTTGCTTGCATCAGAGTGTTCCCATTTCACTGCTTCTAGCCTGTCCCTCCTCTGTCCAGACCTCTCTTGTGGTTCCCTGTCTCACTCTACATAAAAGCCAGCATTCTCACAGTGGCCTCTTCGGCCTCAGCTCCTCCCTCCCCTGCTGTGATTCCAGCCTCTGTAGTATTATTCACCCACTGAGCCACAGGGGCTGCCCAGAATGTAAGCTTTGTAAGGGCAGGCACATCTCTGGCTAATGTGTCACCAGTGCCTAGAACAACGCCTGGCACATCATAAGCACTTGCCAAATATTTGTTGAGTGAATAGTGACTTTATACAATATGTTGCAAGCTTTGATGGTTATTAAGCATAAAGTAGCGTTTCATCTGGAGGATCCCTGGGGCTCAACGGCTTAGCGCCTGCCTTCGGCCCAGGGCATGATCCTGGAGTCCTGGGATCGAGTCCCATGTCAGGCTCCCTGCATGGAGCCTGCTTCTCCCTCAGCCTGTGTCTCTGTCTCTGTGTTTCTCTTGAATAAATAAATAAAATCTTTGGGGGAAAAAATAGCATTTCATCTGAAATGTATCTAAGAATGATGGGGTTATTACTATTAGCATTTAGTTGATGTATTTGTGAATGACTTTGTGGTAGAAAGAAGGGTTCAGTATCAGTTTTCTTTCTTCATTTTGTTTTATAAATGTAGACACTGAGAACTGCTTGTTCAGACAGGCCTGAAAGGTATTTTGTTACAGCTATGACATTCCATCCTTGGATGTCAAAGTTAGAGGCCAAAAATCATAGGAGATATTTTCTTGATCTTTCTGTTGATTACTAGATTAGGGTCCTCCTTCTGTTTTGTTGAAAGCTGAGAATTGGAACCCACCTGACTTGGAAAAGACATTCCAAACAGTCATCAGAGTCCCTTAGCATCAGTTTCCGAGATGTTGACAAAAACCACTTTCTCAAGACCTGTCAACTGATCATTAATCATACCTTTCTCCACTTGGAAACACCTCATTTTATCTGAAATTCTCAGCAAGAGTTGAGTATTTTGTGATATTATTGATTTTGTCCTACCCTTACCAATATAAAAACTTATGCTTTATATTTCCTCAGAAGCTTGAAGCTGCAGATTTAGCTCCTTCAGTTCATCAGAACTATCTATCTAGTGCATTAATAGGCAGAACTAGTTCTAATTGTTAGCCCAGTCAGCAGTCAGACTCACTCTCAGGGTGAGTCTTACTTATTTCTAAGATGTACCATCAACCACCTCTCTTCTGAGTGTAATTCCTAGCAGGTAGGTGAGGCATGGAGCCAGTTACCTGGGCGGAAGATCGTGCTGTGCCTGTGGCTTACTGGCTCCGTTTTGTTTCTCATGAGGACAATATGTTCTTTTACATTAGTCTAGGGATTGAAGTTGCTAAATGGAATTTTAATCATCCCTGCCATCAGACTCCACAATGTGTCTGAATTTAAGGCATTCAAAATGAACTGGGATGTCTTATTTATAACACCGTACTTTGCCCTTAACAGAACTGAGTGTAGGATAGGGAAAGCACAGCCCTGCCTTGTACCTCCATTCAGAGGGCTTTCCTGTGATGTTTGCCTTCTGGGATGTTTGTGCCTGGGGGCAGTGCACTGTGGTAAGAGGAGAGCTGAGAGGTCAGCCTTCTGCTCCCAATGGGAGCAGCTGTGAGAAGGGAAGGGGAAGGATGGGGCTTGCAGGACTTCTGACCTCTTGAGACCATCAGGGAGCTTCACTGTAGGAGAGAATGCATGTGGACACTGGCCACCTAGGACTGGATTCTCTGGAAGCTGTTTGGATCCTCCTACTCCTTGGACAGTCTCCTCCCAGGAATCCCTCTAACCTGGCTAAGAGATAGTAGTGTGTGATTCCTAGAAGGCAGGAGGGAATGAGTTCCCAGATATAAGAGGAGGGAAAGATGGCTCTTACCATTATAGCCCTGGGTGGCCTGGATAGGCTGGACCAGTGAGACATGGATGCCAGGAACTTCTACTGCATTTCATCGTTGTATGTGAATGCCCAGTTATCTGAGAAGCAGGATGTTTTCAGCCACAGCACCCATGGGTAGTGATGTAGTGGGCCTGTCCCAGACTGGGATGTGGTGCACACTGGGTTACAGACATTCTAAATGACCCCCCTGCCCACTGGCTCCAGAGTTGTGTTGGTCCTTCTCAGTCTCCACCCCGTCAGGTGCCAGCTTGGGAGCCAGACCCGAAAGATGGATCAACAGGGACTCTTCACTGGGGCCTTTGTTAAGAAAATCACAGGAAACAAGAGATGCTCTTGAGTTTCCTCTGGGTCCAGTCTGCTCCCTGGCTGCTTTTTAAGCGGGACTATGGTATTTCTAGGCAAATTCAAAACCAGGGCAGATCCAAAAGCTATTTGTACCTTAGAAGAGGAAAAAAGTAGTACTAGCTCAAAAGCTGATCGCTTTCCTGAAAGATGTATTTCATAAAATAGAAAAAATTTAGAACTCTCTGCTTGTTTTCTTATTTTCAGTGGGTTCAGAGTTGATATAATTCTAATGATTATTAGATGAGAATTTGACTAGCACAGAGGAATATGGTAAAATCAAAACCCGGTTAGACCAAATCATAGTTTCTTTGAAACTGGTTGATAGTGGAGTTGAAACTATATATTTGTGAAATGGAAAGGCAGCTAGAGAAAAGCCACAGCGGTATGGCAGGATGGAGTGGCTGGAGCACAGCTTTGAGGAGCAAGAAGAGAGGCGAGCAGATGGAGCACTGCACCAGAAGCCAGGGCATGGCGCGCAGGGCATGGTGCACAGGGCATGGCCACACGGGTTGCAGAGCCCAGTGCTAGGCCACTCTGCTGCAGTGACTGCTGTGCAACACGGGAGCCTCGTGTCCACAGAGCTTCTGGAGAGCAAGGGTGTGCTCTGATTATTTCATACCTAAGATGCCACTTGTTTGGAAAGTTCTTATATCTGGAGGTAATCTTTTTCCCCAAGAAAGTCTTTTCCAAAGACTCGATACCGCCAGGCACGAATCCAGGTGCACTTGGAAGCACTAGAAATGGACGCGTCAGATAAGTGAGGAAGGGTAGAGTAATAAATACTATGCGATGTTAGGCGAGCAAGGAGAAAAGACACACCACCTTATGAGTGTAGTGGATGAGCTGATGGAACATACGAAACCACAAGATCGCTGAGAGAAGACCGAGAAATCAAGTGTTTCTATAATCTTGGTTGGGAAAGATCTCTTTAAGCGTAATACCAAAGACAGAAACCACAGAAAGACTGGCTTCTCAAAAGTGAAAACTAGTTAAACCACAAACTCAAAAGACAAACAGCAGACTAAGAAACATTGTAACAAATATAAAAGTCAAACATTAGTCTTCTTAAGAGCTGTTTCATATTGGTAATGAGAACGTGGGTACTTCAGTAATAAAAGGATATTTAAAGAACATCAGTTACTTCTCATTTTAAAAACGACTTAATATGAAATTAATTTCAGCCTCAACTACTTTTCTTCAGCTGACTGTAACGTAAAACAAATAGCGTATTTCTCTTCTGTCACCCTGGCAAGGAACAGAACCGTTGGGGTCCAGGCAATGTTAGTTTTACCCGCTGGGCAATGTAAATGTTGACACAGTCTCCAAAACGTCTTTTTAATGATGATTTATTGAACACTAACAACTTCCTATTAAATGTTCGTTTTATGTCAGTAGCTGAGGGAAGCAGCAAGATGTACAATGGCTGATTTGTTCACAATGATAATATTTGGGAGTGAAGTTGAACTTTGATTTTAAAGATGATGTTAATTTTGTCAAGTTGTGAAGTTCAGAGTTCTTCAGGGCCCGGGTGCCAGGTTCAGGTTCAAGCACCTTTGTGGTGGAGCGCCCTCTGCTGGCGGCAGCGCCAGGAGCGTTTACAAGGCACCTGCAGGCCAGGCTCACCCCAGGGCCCACCCTAGAAGAGGCTGAGTTGGGACTGCACTGGGGGGTCTGACCCAGTGCTGCCCTGACCCCAGACATCTCCTGCATGTCCACCAGCCCTGTTCCAGAGGGCCCGCTCTGTTGAGAAGGCTGCAGCCGGCACTCAGCCAGCCAGCCCGCAGGTGTGACTGTGGACTCGCTGAGGCAGGGATTCCGTCTGTGTGCTCCACTGCTTGTCTCCAGGCCCTGGAGCACCCCTCGGAACGGACGTTCTCGTGGAGTGACCAGCAGCGAACAGATGATCCTGCAGCTCAAACTGGATGGTTACCTGTCATGAGATGTGTTTGGAGGGGGCTCACGGGTGCTGTGATGTGGAGCGGGGCGGGCCGAGGTGAGAACAGGGCCCCTTTGACAGGTGCTGGGAGACTGAGCAAGAGGAACCAGCTCCCTCGAAGGGTGCTGACACCTCCCTAGGGAGCCTGGCTAGTGGGGTGACAGCAGGCAGGCCAGTGGGGAGCTGAGTGGAGTTCATCATTAGGGCAGGGGCAGGATTTGGTGAAGTAACAAGCAGCCCTGCAGTCCTGTCATTTAACTCTTGATTCTCTGTATTTGCCATATCCTAACATAGTGTTTGCTTTTTGTTTCCTTTTTTTTGATTTTAAGGATTTTTTTGTTTTGTTTTGTGTTTTTGATAGATGAGGGTTACTACCAGGGTGGAAAATTTCAGTTTGAAACTGAAGTTCCTGATGCATACAACATGGTGGTGAGTAGCTTGCGTTTGAGCCATTGTTTCCCCTTCGCGTGGCCCGGTGGCCGTCACAGGGCCCAGCACCCTCCTGCCCCGGGTCCCCCCAGTCCTGAGGCTGAGTACAGAATGGCCCATATTTCTGTGATTAATGGTACTCATTGGCAGTATTCAGAGCCTTAGGAGAGAGATTCATTTCTCAACAAGCACTTGTGAGTGCTGCGTGTCGGGCAGTGTGCACTGGGAGTACGGCTCTGCCGAGGCTAGGGCAGCTGTCCCAAGGCTGGCACCCTCACTGGGGGCTGCCTGAATAGTTCATGTCAGTTTCTTCGTTAAATTCTGGCACTGGAGAAGAAAGCATTTTATTTAAACTGTAGTTTTGTTTATGGTGTAACACCAAAATTCCCAAGGTGTAATTTTACAATTTTAGAAAAGAGGAATGACTCATAGTTTTAAACCATAAGTAATTTATACCCGGAGCTACATGTTAATCTCTCAGAGACCTACCTAGGTAATAATTATACCAAGTACTGTCACATTCTATCCTTACTTTTAAGGAACTTACCAATTAGGAAGGTGAGAAAAAGTGTAGAAAGTTACCCTAAAATGATAAAAGCCATAAGTAGCAGACAACAGAGATACAGAGCAGTGCCAGGAAACTAATATATGGGAATTCAGAGAAGGAAAGGAGAGAATCACTTTGGGAAAGGGGTCAGGCCAGTTGAGCAATTCAGGAGATATAAGATTGGAATTGTCCTGACTTGGGGTTGACTCTTAGATGACCTTAGAATCTCTGGAACTGTGTTAATACGCACCGAAATGAGAACTAGCACCCTGGGTGTGGTGGATTGACCAAGTTGACTTGAAGGAAGAATCGGGGTTGAGGAGTAGTGAGGATGAATGAGCAACTCAGATTTGAGGGTTTTGGGCACTGAGAAACCAGGGACAGATCTGAACAACTCCACAATTACGTATATAAATATGTTTATATGTATAAGCAACCCCCTAATGTTTCCCCCTCTAGGCCTATCAGATAGCAAAATAAAATCTGATGATAAAATCAAGTCTCTTGTTAACCTGAGGCTGTGGGTACGGGGGACTCCCACGTGCCCCAGCAGTTTGCCTGCAGTGACTGTTCTTACTGTCTGACAAGTGAGATTAGGCTCCCCTGCCCCAGGCCCTGGCCCCACCACCAGGGCACAGTTCAGTGGCTGTTACACTTTTTTATTTAAAGCCAAACTTTTATCTAAGGAATTGGTCTTTACTAGACTACTACATTAAAAGTTCTTTCTGAATATAGTTTATGAGGGTGGGAAAGAGTTGGCAACCTCAGAAGAAAAAAATTAATTTTTAAGCAAAGACGGGAAAATGTGCATTTCAGGTCTTGTCTGTCCATCCATCCAGCTCCCTGCTCACGTCCTCTGTGCCCCTAGTCACACACTGAGGGGTCTCACTTGACAGAACACTGGGCTCCCTCAGGTGAGACGCACTTGGAGAGGTTTGGTTTCAGTACAGATGCTTAGAATTCCAGGGGCTAGTTTGATGTTTTCTGGAAACAGCCAGCCATACGGCAGGCACTTAAAATTCCAGACCTTTCCGTTGTCTGGACGTTTGCCCTCTCTAAGGACTCGTCATTGGAAGAATGCTAACGGGTGGTGAGTATGTGACACCGTCTTTTCTTCGGAGAGGCAGTGAGTGTTTGAAGAGGGGGATAGCTCGGGGAAGGGCTTAGCATGAGCTGGCCGACTTGTGAGATAAGGCAGGAATCTGAGGACCCCTGATTTTCAGGTACATTAGGCATCATTTAGTTGGCAGGGCCTCTCGTTCCCAAGAGAGCAGAGCAGGAGAAGGAAGACACCAAGGGAACCGATTTTTGTTAGGAGCTTTTATGTGCCAGGTGCCCCCACTCACTCCCCTCATGTCGTTCTCCAGTAGTTCCCTGGGGACGTGAGTGCTCCCATGTTCACACGTCAGGAAGTTAGGGTCCAGAGAGGTAGAGTTAAGGACGAACCTTGTTAGCTTTGCCAGAATAAACGGCTCCATTGCTGAAGCGGATTCTTGTCCAGGCCTGCCCAGCTACCTGACGGGCGACCTTCCCCCAAACCAGTGGCCACTTGGTGTGAGAACACGTTTGTCATGTTGTCCTGTCCCTGTGTGACTTCTTCAAGAAACGGAGAGGCAGGATAGAAAACCACTGAGCCTCGAGGACATGTTTCTTATATTAATTGGGGACTTACGATGGTTTTACATTCTTATATTTAGTTTCTGTCTCCTATGGGAAATTTCTAAATGATACACTGGTTTGATTTCATCAGAAGCGAAACCCGTGTTCTCACGCCAGGGGCACTGAGAGGCCAGCCCCTCTGGAGTGGACCCAGACCCTGCCCTGCCACCGTTAGGGCCTCTTCCACTCCATGCTCCTGCGGCCCCTGCCTGCCCTCTCCGCCTCCACGTCCAGGCTGAGGCCACACAGCAGCCTTACTGCCAGGCCGGCGACTATCACTAGCTCACGGCAAGGAGTGGGGGGTGGCACCGTCCCTGGGAAACCATGTGACATGGTGCCTGACCCATACAGAGGTACTTGTGTTTACCTTTTTTGTAGTTGGATCTCTGCTGGCATCCTCAGTGTCCCTCTCCACTAGACTGGCAGCTGCCTGAGCGGGAGCCTGGGGGTGTCTTACTTAACGCTGCATTTCCAGGGCTCTGAGAGCCTGCTGCCCCCACACACAGTACACATTTGTCCAGGGGTTGGCACTCTGTACCCCTGCAGACTTACGGTGTAGAAAATGAAACCAGCATACGAAAATGCATAGGTTGCAGGCATTTGAGTGAACTTTAGGCGCCTGTGTTTCATTTGCTGAGGAGAGAGCCGCCTTTTAGAAGGTCAGCCTGAGAATGCTCTGGGGCTGTCTCGGGCTCATTTGTGTTTATGCCATAACTTTATATGATTTTTGTACTTTGTAAGGACTCTCTAAAAACTCTTGACCCTAATAGCTCCTTCAATTAAGGTCACTTATTGAGAGTGTCATTCTGAAAAACTTTTGCCCGGTAAAATAGATCATTATTTTAGAATAAACTTTTTTTAAAGATTTTTATTTATTTATTCATGAGAGAGAGAGAGAGAGAGAGAGAGGCAGAGGCACAGGCAGAGGGAGAAGCAGGCTCCATGCAAGGAGCCCGACGTGGGACTCGATCCCGGGTCTCTAGGATCACACCCTGGGCTGAAGGCGGCGCTGAACTGCTGAGCCACCCGGGCTGCCCTAGAATAAACTTTTAAAAGAAAGAAAATACCTGTTTGGTATCCTTACCCCCTCAATGCCCCTTCACTTCAGCAGCTAAAGTTGAGGTTTTCCTTTGGCTCTTTGTCCTTTTGTCCCTGAACTTTACCTCACAGCCTCAAGCCTGCCTTGTGATCCCTCTAAGACATTGGCTGAAATTATTTCGTGACATGAAGCAAGTTTTCAAAACGTGTGAGGTTTTGTGTCAGACGCTGGCCTTTTAAGAACCCCAGTCTCCTGGGGGACAGCACAGACACAGTGATGAGCCAGGGTGGTGACAGGGCAGTGGGGATCCCTATGCGATCAGGATGCCCAGAGGAGCAGCAGGGCCTCACGTGGTGTCGTAGTCCCAGGGTCCTGTGATGCTCCCCTGCCATGTCGATTGTGCGTTGGTTGGTGGAGCCGTGCGCTAAAGCAGGAGGAAGGACACGGCTTTTTCTTCTTTGCCTCTAGTTTCCTCCTAGAAGTGACACGTTACGTCCCTTCAGGCATATTTTTAAAGATTTTATTTATTTATGAGAGAGAATAAGAGAGTGGGGGGAGGAGCAGAGGGGACACAAGCAGATACCCTTCAGAGCATGGAGCCTGACACAGGGCTGGATGTCAGGACCCTCAGGATCATGAGCTGAGCCGAAACAAAGTCGGGCACTCAGCCTGCTGAGCCACCCAGGCTCCTCTCCCCTCACACATTTTTGATAATATAACCAAATCAAGAGACATGGTCATGACCAGCCCCAGAGAGGGTAAGGGGGGAGCCAGAGATACTTCAAGTGAACTGAATGAACTCCCACTCCCCTCTTCCTCGAATGAAACGTATCCTTTTAAGATACTGAAGTATGGCTGTGCCGAAATGAGATATTAATCACCTGTTACCTCTCCACTGAGAGATGCTCACCACTGACTTTCTGATGTATATTATGGGTAACGTACATATAAAAGGGACCGTGCTACGCATAACTTGGTGACTTGGGGTTAAGATTACAACGTGATGAACAAATGTTCTCATGTCAATTAATGTATCATTACATCATCATTAATAGGAACACTTCACTGTATGATCCATCATAGTTTTAAGTCAGTCCTTTGTTGTTGGTCACTAGTTGACCAGTTTTTGACAGTATGAACCAGACTTTCTGTAAATAGTGAATATTTTAGGCTTTGTGAACCATAAATGGTCTCTATCACATATATGTTTTTTCTTCCACAAAATATGTGAGGTTTTTTTAAACAGTCTTTTCAAAATGGAGAAACCATGATTAGGTCCTATGCAGAAACAGCTCACATCTGCATTTGGTGCATAGGCTGTTACCCGCTGACTGCGGGTGTAAGCAGTACTGTTGTGCACGTCCCAGACAGCAGCTCGTGCACATCTGCCTCTGTCCTTTGCATGAATCCATAGCAGTGGAGTTCCGGGTATGGAGTAATTAATGCTAATTTTAAAGCTCTTCATCAGTACTAGTAAATTAGCCCCCAGAGAGGTTATTACACCAGTGGCTTCCTCACCATCACTATTTGAAAATGCCCTTTTTCCTCACGAAGATGGAGTATTTTGCTTTTCTTTTTGCCATTTTGGGAGGAAGTAAATGGTATCTAATTGTCATTTGAGTTTTCATTTCTTAAGTAAGTAGAATACTAAATATATTTTCCTATTTATTGCCTTTTTGTGTTCTTTATGACCTGTTATTATGTCCTTAGTCTTTTTTCCATTGGGATATTTGTTATAAGAGTTCTCAGCTAGAATTTATATAAACTTTTTTCTTTTTTTTTTTTTTTAATAACTATATTTTTTTTTGAATTTTATTTATTTATGATAGTCACAGAGAGAGAGGCAGAGACACAGGCAGAGGGAGAAGCAGGCTCCATGCACCGGGAGCCCGACGTGGGACTCGATCCCGGGTCTCCAGGATCGCGCCCTGGGCCAAAGGCAGGCGCCAAACCGCTGCGCCACCCAGGGATCCCCTAAACTTTTTTCTTAATTTTTTTAGTTGTACTGTGAAGATTTTTCTGTTTTTCCTTTGTCTTTTATTGTTTTTATTTTGTAAACCTTTGGGTTGTTTTTTTTTCTTTTTGCTTCACCACCGTACTAAAATCTACTTGTCTTTCATGAGTTTTTCTTGGTTGTGAAATGCTTAAAACAGGCCTTCAGATCCCAAAGTAATTCATCTGCATTTTCTTCCAGTACTCTTATAGTTCTGTATCATTTGTGGTTTGTGCATCTGGAGTATAACTTTTTTTTAAGGTTTTATTTATTTATTTAACAGAACACAAGCAGGCAGAGGGGCAGGCAGAAACAGGCTCCCCACTGAGCAAAGAGCCCAATGCGGAGCTTGATCCCAGGATCCCAGGATCACAGCCTGAGCCGAAGGCAGATGCTTAACTGACTGAGCCCCCCAGGCACCCCTGCAGTACAACTCTTACGTGGGGACCTAACTGTGTTTTTCCAGATGATTAGCCAGTTGTGCACTGAAGAATCCCTTCTTCCCTATTGGTTTGCAATGCAGTGGCTGTCATATATTAAACTCTTCGCCTGTGGTGGGGCAGGTGGCGATGCCAAGTAGGTGGAGCTGGGTATTTCTTGTCTGTCTTGTTGAGCGGTGAGGTCAGGTCTATGAGTTCTGTTTGGAAAGTGTGTGTCAGAATCTGGGTCCACGGTTCTGATCTGTTCTCCTGCCTGGGGACCACAGGTAGTAAGAGGACCACTGACAGGAGAGATGTCTGTGCCAACATCTGACTACAGAGGGTGTGAAGGGGCAAGGAAGAGAGGGGCATATACAATTGGATACTTGGAGATACAGTGAATGCTAGGTGGGTGACAGGTATGTCACAGGCACTCTAGAAGGGAGGGAGATAGAGCCTTCAGGTTCTCTCCGAAGCCAAGTTGGTGATTCTGTCTACGCAGTATGGAAACTGTATTGTTGCTTAGGGAGGTTCATACAGCCCTGCAGTGCCGGCCTTCCCTCAACCCAAAGGCCTTGCTGGAAATGCACAACTAGCGTACTTTCTATCAAAGCCATTCCCATTTACTTGAAGGAAAGCAAAGTAGAGCCTAGTAAATTAACTTAAACTCACTCTGAACCTAAATTCTGTACTCCTTGGACACCTACATTCATACTTGGATTAGTGATCTGGGCAAGTTTCTTGATGTTATGGTGTCTTAAAATCAGTAGGAAACTTAAAGAGTGCAGGAAAAATGTGTCTGTTTTGTGCAAATAAAATGATGAAAAGATTCAAGTACTACAAAAAGTGCAGGAGAGTCTGAGTGGTTGGTAACAAAGACAAAAATTTGATTACTAGGACTTTACAGAAGAATAGCATCATAAATGCAAATTAATACCAAATGATAAACATGGAAAACATCCTCCCCTCCCCTCCCCGCCCCCAACAAAGAATGTCTGTGAGATGACATGTGTGTGAGACTTGGCCAGACAATGCTTGTGTGCCCTGACTAGCAGTTTCTCTACCTGGGCTTCATCCCAGGAAGATCTTTCCCACAGAAGTGAGCAGAGATGAGCGCGCTGATTTAGTCCAGTCCGTGGTAGAGGGGGGAGGCAACCTAAATGTCCAGTAATAGGAACTGCCTGTGAAATGCTAGCGTTGGTACCATGAAGAATGAGAAAGCCCAAAGCCATCTGAAGTGGTGACAGAAATGAGCCTGAAGAGATGGAGAGCACGCATCCCCACTCCCATAAAGAAAAATGGATGTGCACGCACACACACGCATCTCTGGGGCCTCGAAGACAGGCTCACAAGATGTGTATCAGCTGTTCATAGAAATTATTTCTGGGTGGAATTATGTACAACAAAAGGAAAGTCAGAGATCTTGCCTTGTGTTTTCATTGTCTTTTTGTCTTAAATGAGTGTGGATTGCTCGTATTTAGAGTCACTTTAAAAGATCAGCTTTATCTAAACATGCCTCATGATAAGCGATTATCCATGTGCCTTACTCCCACATACTCATTTTCATTCTCTCTCCCTCCTGTAAGCATAAAGCAGACTCAGACTTGGGTGTGGGACAATGTACATGGCAGTAGCATCTTCAGAAGCACGTGCACAGGGACCCAGCTACCACTGCTAGGAGCAGTCACATTCAGCCACGGCTCCGCAGCATAGAGCACAGGCATCTGTGGATTGGGCCTGGAGCTCAGCTTAGGCTCCTGCACAGCCCTGGCGGGGTGGGTCAGAGGTGGCCAAGGCCCAGCTGCCAGCCCCACACAGCCTCAGGCCCTGGGATTGTAGAAGGGTCGTGTTGTGTTAGGGGTACAGGCAGGCTTCGTGGGGCTGACTAGCACCTGTGGATGCAGTGTGAAGACACTCCCTTCCAAACTTGAAGACTGGCTGGCCAGTCAAGCTGAGTGCCAAGTAAGCAGTGCAACGAGGGGCTGGATGGGGTCTGTGGCAGCAGGCATGATTTGGAGAGCCTGTGATCTCTTTCTCTCTGTGTTGCAGCCTCCCAAAGTGAAATGCCTGACCAGGATCTGGCACCCCAACATCACAGAGACAGGCGAAATATGTCTAAGGTGGGTTTCTCTTCTCTCCTGTCTTCTGTGTGAGCACTCTGTGTGAGCATCCTGCTTTCTAACAAAGGACCTCCACTGAGAGGAGATTCTGAGGCTGGCCAAGATTAGGGAGGGTGGGGAAGTCACCCTCAGGGCTCCCGGGCTGCACATCCCACCCCAGCCTGCCTCCACCCCCAGACCCGCGGCCTCCTGGGCCCTCTGGTGGCCAAGACTTCTGCCTGTCCTTGCTCCAGGGCTCTTATCCTTTCTTGCTCCTGTTGTAATGAGAGGCTGCAGTCCCTCCATGTGGCTGATGTTTGCTAAGAAAAAGTATGATTTATAAGATCCAGGGACGGGAATGTAGGTGGCAAGTTTAAGACCTAAGCATTTGTATTTAAGATGTCCTCTCTTTACTGCAATAGTCCTGCTGTGCATAGAGCAGGACAGCTTTCCCAGAGCTTCATGTCCCCGGTGGCCTGTGTGTCCTCCCACTTCCTGAGGCTGCTGATCCCTGATGTAGGGAACTGGCGAAGGTGTGTGATTTGTTGTGGTCAAGTAAATTTAGCACTTGGGCTTTATCTCTGTGTCTTGTCACTTTGGTAAGGCAGCCGTGGAGTTGCACCAGTTCTGGTCCCAGACTGCCTGGGCTGGGAACCAGCGCCACCGCCAGCAACAGCACCACCGGCAGCCAGGTGACTTTGGCAGGTTATGTAACCATCAGCCACAGGGCCAAGAGTAGGCATTAGCATTGGCACCTTGTTCTGCTTCATTCCTGTGATGATTCAGTGTCATCTCCCCTCCCACCCCACCCAGGGAACACCAGCCCCTGCCTGTGGGGAGGAACTATACACTGACTGCCCTGTGCCTGCACAGCTGGACCTTCGTCCCTTTTTTTTTTTTCTTACGGTTTATATACCTATTTGAGAAAGAGGGCATGCGAGCTGGGGGAGGAGCAGAGGAAGAGGGAGACTGCTTCTGAGCATGGAACCACTGAGCATGGAACCCAAGGTTCAGCTTGGTCCCAGGACCCTGAGATCACGACCTGACCTGAAATCAAGAGTCAGCTGCTTGGGACGCCTGGGTGGCTCAGCGGTTGAGCATCTGCCTTCAGCTCAGGGTGTGAGCCCGAGGTCCTGGGATCGAGTCCCACATCAGGCTCCCTGCAAGGATCCTGCTTCTCCCTCTGCCTGTGTCTCTGCCTCTCTCTCTGTCTCTCATGAATAAATAAAATCTTTAAAAAAAAAAAAGTCAGATGCTTAACTGACTGTGCCCCCTTTTCCTTGTTAAGAGCACAGTTAGCACCCAGCTCCCAGTTCAGCCCCTGTTCTCATATCCGCCTCCTTTTCTGTCGGCAGTCACAGATGTACTTATGAGAGCCACCTTTTCCACATCTGGCCTTTAAGTATCGTGCTCATAAAATCTGACTCCTCCAGCTTCAGCTAATAGATGGCATTCGCTCCTGCCTTCTCCCCCAGGGCCATCGCCGCTGCTGCTCGCTCTCCTAGGCATCCACTGCACTCCACCTCCCTGTCATGCTCTGTCTTCCACCAGAGTTAAGGCCAGAGCAGGATTTATCCTGTTACTTTTGCTGTCTTCAGAGAAATCAGGTCATCAGCAAAGTGTGAGGAGAACTCAGCAGGGGCAGCCAGCAACAAAAGCCAGAAACCTTAAAGGAAAATCATTGATTTAGCCACATTAAAATTAAATATACAAAACACAAAAAGTGAGAGAAAAGATCAGCTAGGTTACATCCTTCATATGTAAAAGGTCTTTACCAATCAGTATGAAGAGGATGGATACGTCCACTAGGAAGGATGAGCACCTCTACACGTAGTGACTCGGGAGATTTACAAGTGGACGGTAAGCACTGAGGGATGTTCCGTCTCAGTGGTAGCCAGAGAAAGGCTCTTTGCTCGCCACTCCTCAAACCGCCCGGTGCAGAACAAACACCCAGTGGGATGAGATGTGTCTGTGCGGGTGCGGGGGGAGAACAGGCTCCCTCGCATCACGGGAGGACACGCATCTCTCTATATCTGTGTCGGCCCTTCGGCTCTAAGGTCTGCATTTACCTGGTACTTACCCTTGGACTTGTCAACTACTTGTAGGGTTGTTTTTTTTTTTCGGGAAATAATGTGCTAGATTAAACTCCTTGTTTGTGAAAAAAATAGACATTGTCCAGCAGGGGCTTAGTGTACCACTGACTCACGGCATCTCCTGAATAAAGAGAAAGACACACCTGAGCCGGCTACTCCTGGTCTGCAGGGACCGCCAGGCAGCATCTGGCTGGGTTCCTCACTCGGCAGCGCTGACCAGCGCCTGGTGCTCTGCGGGGTCTGCTCTAGTACAAGGGTACTTACCTCTCTTCGTGAGGCTCACCGTGCTCCCACCAGGGCCCCTCCCTTGCCCCCCGCTCTCAGCTCAGGGTCAGAGGGCAGAGGTGCCATGTCTGTGGAATGAGAGGCCCTGGGGTCAGGACCCCGGTGGTTGCACTTGACACTTTCTCCTGGGGTCCTTGCTTCCAGGGTAGTTCCTGAGGCACCCTGTGATCCCTTGCCTGGTGCCCTCCCTGATGGCCTGTCACTTGAGCTCCTGCAGGACTGCAAGCTGCTGGGGCTGGGCTCGAACCTGCACAGTGACTGTGTTCTCACCACAGTGTCTCTGTGCCCAGACTTGTGCTCTGCAGATTGGGAACAGCCTGCCTGATTATGGGCACCACCACCAGCCCTTACCTGGAGGGCCTTGCCCTGGGTGGACACACCTGGTCTCCAGGTTCAGAACCCTGTGCTCTGGCTGTGCTGCTGACAGCTCAGCCTGTTAAGCTGGCTCCCTCCCTCCCTCCCTCCCCTAATGGTGGCTGAACCCAGAGGTGGTGGGGGCAGTTGGTATTCCTCGCTTTGTGAGGCCTGCTGACTCCTAGGGAGACGGGCACTGAACAAGTGATCAGATAGATAGCTAAGGATTGTGGCGAGGTCTGGAAAAGAGAAGAACAAAGACAGAACTGATTCTTGCCTCCGGGAAGAGATGACCTGGCACATGGTTCCCAAACACTGCAGAGCTTCTGTGTCCGCAGGGCCTGGGCCCTCTGCAGGGTGGAGACGTCTGTTTCTTTCTCCTTCTCTTTTCAAGACTCAAAGTAAGTCATAGTGGCCAATTTCAGGTTTTATTTCTTCTGACTGATCTCTATGGGGAATTAAGATCATAGCATATTTCTGTTTTCTCCTGATCCTAATTGAGTTATGTGAATCTGAACCTGTTCTGATCCAAAACTTCTCTTCACAGTAGGAATTAAGGCGCGGAGAGCCTGATGCTGCCGTGTGAGCTTAGGAGCTGTTACGTACACATGAAAGCGGCAGCGGGATACAGCTCAAGGATGCCAAACTAATCTTTCCCTAGAAGGAAACTTGGCAGTAAACTGTAATTTTTCAGAGCATGAAATAACCATTTCTGTGAGAGTTTGTGATGTGCACGTACAGCTGATAGAACAGTGATGAAAATGACCCTGGGGTCCAGCTTAAGAAACAGGACCCCACAGGACCTCCAAAGTGTGTGCGCACCTTCTCCAAACGTGGGCCTCCCACCCACTCGTGACCACCATCCAGAATTTTGTGTTAATCTATCCTTATAACTTCATTTTTCCCTTTTGAGCTTTTTTTAAAAAAACAAACAAGATGTTAAAATATGTGCTAGGAGCTGTCATCCGTGTTCACCCGCAGTTCCTGGCAAGCTGTGCGGTTCGAAGGGCCGTTCGTCAGGCCCGTGCCCTCCGGCGTGTTGCTGCTCTGTGCCTTGCTTTCTTGCCTCCGTTAGTTGGAGAAATGGCAGCGCCTCCCTCGTGGGTCGTTGAGGCTTTGAGGAAGGTTAGGATCGTGCTGACAGCACACATAGGAAGCTCTCAGTGTCGGTTGTCCTTTCTGGATGTCAAGTTGGCCAGTGTTCTCTGTGGGTTATGTTAAGCACGCTTTCTCCCTGCTTAAAACTTGATGTGGTGCAGGATTGAAGACCTGGCTGTCCACGCAGTAAACGTGGTGCAGGACACGAGACGAGCATGTGTACAGCCTTGGGGGTAGAGACGGCCTTCTGCTGGGAGTCGGGGGGCCTGTGAGGCCCGGGGAGGGGGAGCCTGGGGAAAGTGGGTGTCCTGAAGAGGAGACATGGGCCCAGAGGGCGTGGCGGCAGCGGTGGGCACACCTGTGGCTCACACGACGGGAGGCTGCCCTTGCTGACCGCTGTGCCTTTCTGTTTCAGTTTACTGAGAGAACATTCGATTGACGGCACCGGCTGGGCTCCCACGAGGACATTAAAGGTAGAGTGCAGTGCACTTGACCACACCCCGGCCTAGAGGCCTCTCCCCCCGGGAACCAGTCTCCTTGCTATCCTGCCCACCCAGGTGGCTGGGCACCGTGCTCCCGCCTGCCCACCTGAGGCTGCTCGGCTCAGTGCTTGGCCGGGTTGGTTCCTCTGCCTGCAGTTATCTCTGCTCCCCTCTGCTCCCTTTGTGCTCCAGGTCGTTTAGTTTCTGTTCTTTCCTTCCTCTGTCCCCCAGTCTCGGGTGGTGCCTCATTCCCAGAGGAGGGGAGTGCTGCCGGGGTGAGGCGACAGGGAGGAGGGAGAAGGCAGGATGGCCCCCGTCTGTTCCGAGTTACTTGGAGCTAGCCAGGGATGCCCTGAGGGAGGACGCCACCCCAGGGGAGGGCGATGGAACTGGGAGCCACCAGGACTAAGCAGGTGGCCCCAGTTTCTTCTGTGGTGTAGGCTCCAGTGGGTTCTGGGGGAGCACGTCTCTGGTGCTGCATGAGGCCGCCAGCTGTGGCCCCAGCTCAGGGCTTTGCTGCCATAGTTTCCGTAGGACACCTACAGGGTCTTCATGCTGCCTGACGCTTTCATCAGGTAGTGTCGGCTAGTGTCCACTTGATAGTCACCTGCCGCCTGACTCCTGCCACTGTTTCTGAAGGGTAGCGAGATAGTCCCACGCAGTCTTTGTGGCCCTTGCCCTTCTTGTGCGGGTCCAGGCGGCCCAGAAGAGCGCGCCTCCGGTCCTGGGTTCCCGGCCTGTGCTTCTGTTCAGCCCGGGACTCAGCACAAAGGTGTGGCCACCTGGGCCAGACCCATTTTCTCTGGTGACCGTGTCCTCCTCCTCTGCAGCTGACAGTCATACCAGGTCCACTTCAAAGGGCTGTGGGTGCCGAATCAGCCTGTTTGTGAAGCTCACAGACTGCCTGGCACACTGCACGATGCCATTTCCATCTCTGTCTCTATCTCAGGAGCAACAGTTTTGCACGTGTGTTAACTTTGGCTCAGTCATGCATGGATTACAGAAGTCAAACTAAAACCTTTGGAGGTCAAGCTCTGTGCCAAACACTCAAAATGAGCGTGGCTGGTAATGAAGATGCTGCATTGGGTGCTGTCCTCCCCGTCATAAGGGGGAGCCTGAGCAGAAGTGGGCGGGTCTCAGCCCTGCCCTGCACACATGCCAGGCTTTCTCTCCCCACTGTTCTTCACAGTTTAACCCTGTGGGCCCTGCCTTTGAAAAGAGCTTCTGCAGATAAACTGTCCTCATTTGTTAAATGCCAGCTTACTGGTTCATCTCTTAGAGACCATCCTCAATCCCATACCCTGCTCTTGGGCAGCCCCACTGCTCTTAGAGAAAGACGTTGAGGCCCAGAGAGGTGTGCACGGGTCATAACGGCCCACAGGGTACTGCACCAGTCCTGAGCCAGGTCTAGTTCTGTACGTGGACACACTCCATGGGCAACAGCTGCCAGTTGCTGTGTAGGCGCTGTCCTTGGGTATCACCAAGTAGGCACTTGGGGAAAGAACACGGGGAAGGAGCTTGGAGCCCTGCCCCAGAGTCAGAGAACACTGCAGACTCTACAGGCCTGACTGGATTCTCTCGAGGTGGAGTCTGTCCTGCCACGGGCAGCCTGGCCTGTCTTCTCGCCACACCCTGGACATGTCCTGCCCACTTGAGACTTAGCTCCTGCACGGGGTGCCTCTACCCTGCAGGCCCCACCTCCTCTGGGAACCCCCTCCTCCCTGCTGGGTCCTCTGGGGGAACACTTCTGTGCAAGGTCTGTTCAACATGCCTGTCTGTCCAGCCTCTCCACCAGACCAAGAACATGTATTTATCTCCAGCTCCAGCCGTAGGTCTGGCTCACCCCAAAAGGACACAGGTGGATGGCTGAGAGAAAGCGGAGGGGCAGTTAAAGTGGCCAACTAGCACAGTATCAACTGGGGCAGAGAATCAGCCTAAAAAAGACAAGACTCGAGCTGATGACGAGGAAGGCTGAGAGAGAGTTAATTTGTGGTTAAGTCACAGATGGCAAGTCAGTCCAGAGAGAACACATTAATTATCCATTTTATTTTAATGAGAATTTCTGATCTTTGGATATTAGGAAATGCTTATTAGTCTTCCACTTTTTTTTTTTTTAAGTAATTAGAGCAGAATTGTTAGGAGGCCTTTGGGACCATGGGTAATTAGCATCTGCAGTCCCCAAAGGCCACAGACACAGAAACAACAGATTTTGTCATAAAGAGGACTCTTCAGAAGTTCCCAACTGTGCTTGGAGGTGACGAGGATGAGGTGACATAAGGTGGGGTTCTCCTGAGCAGATGTGCCTGTGGGCTCCTTGGGCTGGGTGTCACCCGAGGGCACTTGAGGTCCTTGAGTCTGTATTTACTACCCATGACTGTTCATCTCCAAATTTCCCAGAGCCTGTTGTCATTGGAGAGAAGTTGTTTAAAGTTTCCGTCTTGGGAAAAACAGAGCATGCTAAAGATAAATTCTGACCTGGCGCAGTACGTAACTCTTGGTCGCGGGTTTGAAACACTAAGTGCACAGGAGCCTGAAACTTGTTTTCTTTCTTTCTTTCTTTCTTTCTCATTCCAGGATGTTGTCTGGGGATTAAACTCTTTGTTTACTGTAAGTATATTGACCAGAAGCCCAAGTTTTTCTTGATTCCTCTGACTACTGGTCTTAGATACCACATTAAGGATAACCTAGAGGGATTAAGAACGGCACCCTGTACATGCCGAACCCCTCCTTTCTGTCACACTTGATGAGGCCGAGGAACAGTGACATGGATGGCACCTGAGGAGGCCGTCAGGGAGGAAAGGGCTGGGGCCTGGCCGTTCTCGGAAGCCGCCTTCCCGTGGGCGGCTGTTCCTCTGGGGGCACCTGGCCCAGCCCTGCTCCGTGTCTGCCCTCGCCAGCAGCCCTCTTCCCTCCTGGTTTGGGTGAAAGCGTACGTGGCCCCCGACCACTAGGCCTTTTACAAACTCAGAGCCTTAGAACCATTCTCTCATCGGTGACGAGTTGCCCACATTTGCTGTCCAGAGAAAACAGTGCGTCACAGGCCGGAGGGCAGGAAGGGGCACACGGAGAAGCTAAAAGCTGGTATTTGGATTTTATAAAAGTAATACACTTTTGAGTTTTTACTTTTCAATCATAAAAGAGCTTTTAAAGTAATAAGCTTCAGGGATGTGTCCCTGGGAGGGAAATAAGGCTGTGCTACTTTTAATAAAACTTGATCCTCCATGAAAATGAGCCCCGCGGCCAGCTCACAGGACGACGTGGTCGTTGGAGGGGCAGCTTCCTGGCCCCCGGCACCCGGCCAGGCTGCTGTCCCCACACTCACATCTGAGGTCACAGTGGTCTTGCTCTTAGGGGCAGCAAAATACAAAGCACAAGAGCCTCAGAATTAGACGCCCCCCAAGCCCCAGCCTCCCTTTGCCGTCTCATCTGTTGTCCAGGTGACCCCTGGGACAATGCAGCACTTCCTGTCTTCTGGCCCCTGTTACTCACTTGGGAAGGTAGTGCCATCGTTTCGTTGTGATTCTGGTTTGGCTTCTCATGGATGTGCACAGTTGTGCTTCTGGAGCTGTGGAAGATAGAGCATAATTTAAAATCTGCCCAGCACGTTGTGCTTCTTTTTCGTTGATTTGGCTTTTAATCTGATCTGGTGCCGTGTTCATCTCTCCAGTGCTCCAGATTCTAGAGAGTCAGCCAGAATTGTTGATTAAGGCTGTAATGGTCATTCCCGCCAATATATTCCTTTAGGTCAGGTATATGGTAAGGAAGGTAAAGAATTTTGTGCGTCTGGTGATTTTCATCTGCCCTGGATATCTCATCTGTATGCTTTATATTTTTGCCTGTTTCTAGGACTTAGAGTCTAATTATTCTACTTTACCTTGATCATAGAGATCTTAGAGACTTGAGTTTTCCTTGCTGTATTTGTAATGTATTGGTCATACCCCATGTTTATTTCCACATCAGAAATACAGTCCCCAAATTTAACATTTCCAGTGACCATCTATGACTCTGGAAAGCAGTGACTTCTCATAAGAACAAATCTCACCACCCCGGTTTTTAAGAAGAGGAGTAGGCGTATAAAGATAAGGCATGGCCTCTGATTTGCAATCCATGGTGTGTCTTTTAGGGAGGTGGGAGTGGCCATTCCAGGGTTTTCTTTTTAATATTTTATTTTTTTAAAATAATCTCTACACCCATAATGGGGCTCAAATCACAGCCCGGAGACTGAGAGTCGCACATTCCACTGACTGAGCCAGCCTGGTGCCGCCACCTCCCCCCACCCACCGCACCCTGGGTTTTCTAAGGTAGAAAGGCCTGGGGGACCCGGGCCTCCTGGGGGAGCTGTCCCACGCTCACTCGGCCTCCACCCACCATCCCTGCCGGCTATGAAGGGATGCTGTGAAGGGGAATAAAAAGATAAAGAGAAGATCTGGCAAAGGTCAGCATGGAAACCACAGACTTAGGCAAGGATGTTCCTCACAAAGTAAAAGAAGAAATGAATTTTTGAGGAAAAAAAGAATGGGATTTTTATTTGGAAATGCTCATAATAAGACTGGTTCTTTATCAAAAATAGCATTAGAACTTAGTGTGATCACCAGACTTTGGACAGTCGTATGTAAACATCTCGATCTTTGACCAGCATTCAGAAAACCCCCACACAGCCCGTGCGCTTCCATCACAGGAACCATGATCCGTGATAGAATCGCTGCGCTCTCTGGGTTCTCCTATTTGCTGATTAGAGTTCTGTCGCCTGGTTCATAAAATGAAGACTTAAAACAGCAGAAAAGGGCATCCCGGGTGGCTCAGCGGTTTAGCACTGCCTTCGGCCCAGGGTGTGATCCTGGAGACCCGGGATCGAGTCCCATGTCGGGCTCCCTGCACGGAGCCTGCTCCTCCCTCTGCCTGTGTCTCTGCCTCTCTCTCTCTGTCATGAATAAATAAATAAGATTAAAAAAAAAATACTTGGTTCAGAGCAAAACCAAAGTCTGTTTTAAAAAAAAACAGCAGAAAAACAGTCTTTCCATTGTTCTTTCCACTGTTTACTTTGAGTTTCTCTCTTTTTAAGGATCTTTTGAATTTTGATGATCCGCTGAATATTGAAGCTGCAGAACATCATTTGAGGGACAAGGTGAGCTACTGATCACATCCGAGGTTGATGGGTGTGGTAAAAAGATGACCCGCTCTTGCTCAGATAAATACGATGCTGAGAACGGTAGATCCAGGCCCGGGATTTAAAGCAGTTGATCAGTGATGTGTTGTGATAAATGTGAGTAGTCTCGGTAAAGTATTTGACCCGAGGTCAGACAGAAGTGTTTATATTAGATGTGATTTCCTAGTAGAATTCATTCTGAGGGACTTAAACAGGCCACTGCTACTTTACATGATTAACGGTGTGGGGATACAGTGCTCACACCCCAGGTCCTTCCAATGTGCCGATACACTCGCCTCCCCATTTGGTTTCTGTCCAGAATAATGGGATCCTATTTATTATTTTTAATCCTCGGTTCCTTTTTTTTTGTTGTTGTTGCCAGCTTTTTTCTTCCCAATAAACCATCACTCACTCATTTTAGGAGCAAACAGTCCATAAAGTGGCTCTACCATACTTTTCTCAACCATTGGCTCAGTGGTGGGCAGGCACTCCGATTTCCCCCATGAGGTTTTTTTTTTTTTTTTTTTTTTTTCCACCTACAGAGGATAATGCAGTAAATATCCCTTTTACACACATCCTTAAAAGTACACGAACAAGGCGTTAGGGGTAGCAGTCTGGGAGACGGCCCTGTGATTGGAACAAAGCTGTTGGATGAGGTTGTGCAGCTTCACTTGGGGCCGGGCTGGTTGGCCAGTTAGGTCTAAGCAGACAGCCTTGTGGGACTAGCTTGGTTTAGTCAGAGCCTTGACTTTCATTTTCTGAACCAGATTTCCTGTGAATCCTCACCACCCCAGAAATCAGCCACCCAAGGCTAGTACCCAACAGCTAACGTGAATCTATAAAGCTCTAAACGCCATCAACCTGTTTCTAAATATCATGCTTAAGAGCAGGTGCTTTTGCTTGGTAAGACGTGCTCTGTGCCAGAGTGAGGGGTGTTTTAAGTGTGCTGCGTGAGGCGTAACGAGGGGCACAGGTACTGCCCTGGCAGGGCCCCCAAGGGGGGCAGAGTACCTGCGAGAGCTGCGCCGCCCAGCACGTACCCTGGCACAGGTCCAAACACCATGTGGCAGGCGCAGCAAGGACCAGTGAGTCATGCGGTGGGGCTGCGGGGCCACTGGGTGCATCCGGTCAGGCAGAGGAGGCTGGGGCCACCATGGAGGTAAGAGACTTGCTGGGAAGGGCAGAGCCCAACATGTGAACCCAGGCAGTCTGGTCCCAAAGTCCTTGGGCTTCATGTGGGCTCTGCTCTGTGGGCCTGTGGGGTGGGAGGCAGCAGAGGCTGAGCACGAAGACTCTCGGAGGCCATGGGCTCCGGGCTTCATCCGGGGCAAGGGGAGAGCAAAGGAGGTGAGACTGAGCAGACGCACCTTTGGTCCTGAGGGCAGGACTGGGGTGGCAGTGCCTATGGGGTCTTCACATCCTGCAAGCAGTGGCTGAGGCTCCTTAGGAGCTGGCGGTACCATTGGCTTCTGGGTACTGTGGAAATGGCCAAGTCAGGGCTCCTGTCCGCAAATGCAGGCTCAGCAGCTCCCCACTTCCTCACTTAAGATGACAAGCAAGTCACCAAATCATTTTCAGACCCTTAAATCAGGAACCTGCCCTGACCTTGAACGGGTTACCGTGTGCATTAAGTGTGGCAGGAGAGGGGGTCTCCTGGGTGCTCCACCCACTTCTAGCTGCTTCCCCTGGAAGAGGCGCCACTCTAGGCAAGGACTGGCCCCAGGAAGGCACAGCCAGTGCAGCACCTACCAGGGGCTCTGCTGTGCCCTCTGCGTGTGCTGGGGGCCCTTGGTGTTCCCTGTCACGTGATGGGACCATGATGGAACTGAAGCAGTGTGACCCCACGGCCAGCAGTGACCTAGCAGCTGTGTTGTAGGAGTAAGAGGGTTAAGTTCCACCTGTCAGATCACAGTGTCCTGAATGCTGAATGCATGTGTTCTTAGGTGGGCAAGCTCCAAGTCCCTCCTGGTGCCTGTGGTCCCTGGGGCCCTTGCCTAGTCCTGCAAGGCCAAGGAACTTAGGTCCTAACGTTAGACCCAAGGGGCACACCTGGGGCACTTCCTGCCCATACTGGCTTGGAGACCCTGAGGGCCACACCACCTCTTCACCAGAGGAGTTGGGCCAGGTGCCCAGGTGGCCTCTGCTCGATGCCTGCAGAGGGAGCTTTGCAGCAAGCCCTCTGTGGGCAAGGTCATCACCATGAGAAGTGGGCATGTTTTGAATAGTCTACAAGGTCTGGGGGGTGGTTCTAGGAAGATGATCTGGACATAGGGGTCTCTGGAGAACAGCAGGTATGGCTCATCCCCAGTTGAGGTCAAGAGCCCCGTCCTGACCTACATTGTCACCTGCACCACACTATGGGCCTCACTTTCCACATCTCCAAAGCAAGCAGTCTCGGGTTCTGTTCCGCTCAGAGCTTCTGTGTTGGGTCCCCACCCCAACCCTCCCAGCACAGTGGCACAGCGTCCTGCACGCGGCGTTCTGCACACAGCAGGCACCTGGAGGAGTAGGGAATCAACACTCCACTCCCTGGGCCTCTGATGGTCCTACAGCCCCAGCAGCTGGGTTGGGGTGGGGGGTGCAGTTGGAGTCCTCGTCCTTCCTAAGCTCTAGGCTCTCGAGAGCTCAGCGGCTCCTCAGTGGCTCCTGGGCTTGGGTGGGTCCTACTTGTCTGGAAGTGTTTCGTTGCTAACTCGCTCCCCTTTTCCTTCTCTCCCTGATCCCCCTCTCCCGCTCCACAGGAGGACTTCCGGAATAAAGTGGAAGACTACATTAAGCGTTACGCCAGATGATAGGAGGAGGAGACGGTGGGGCTGTGGACTGTGTTGTAGGCTTGTCTCCAACAACCACGAGGGAGCTCCCGTCCCCAGTCCTCGCGCTCCCCTGAGACCCACAGGGTCATCCGCATCCTGTGACCATGCTGTCCTGAGGAAGAACCTCTTGACGACTGCCCATTGTAGATGGAGAGTCCCACATAAATACAGCAAGAAAATGCGTTTGGGGTTCTAAAGAGTTGTCTGCTTACCTTAACATGTTTACTTTTTGGAAACTGTACTGTATAGGCTATTGATGAGATTCCAGAAGTTGTAATGAACTCAGAATTGAGGCTAGCGCTTGCTTCTTCCCCTTTTCCCAACCAAAATCCTCCCCCGCACAAGTGATGATGATGTGTTCAGTGTAGCTCGCGGATGGGCCCTAAGAACCCTGCTGCATACTGTGATTGGATGCACATTCTCTTAGCTCCTCCACGGATGCCGGCCCCGCCTAGGTGTCCTGAAGCTTCCCAGAACGCACAGTCATTCACTGTAGATCTCTTACTGAAATGCGTATTTTATTTAATGTAAGTATATTTTGGAACAGATTTGTAATTTGTACAATTTAATGCTTTAATTATTTTTTTCTATTCTCATTTAGTTTGTATTTTCATTGTATAGAGCAGACAGATGTTGGGTCAAGCAACTATTGAAGAGAAATACAAAGAAAATATGAAAGACCCATTATTCCTTCTGTCCAACTGAAACAGGAATTTGGCTTTTAAAAATCAGCTCTTGCTTTTGGGTCCAGATGGGGTGAGGAAGTTTTGGAACTCCTTGAAGCTACTAGCTCTGTCTGATTTTTTAAAAAGAAAAAGAGAAAAAGCAGGGAGCCCTTTCTCAGCTGCTGGCCCGAGGAGACTGGCTGGAGCCCCACCAGCCGGGGGGGGGGGTGGCGTTTCCACAGCAGCCCGTGGGGGAGCCCAGGGAGGGCAGAGGTACCGCCAGTCAGCCCTCCGGAGTCTGATGCCGCAGACCGCAGATGTGGCCTCGGACTCTGCTGCGGTTCGGCGTCCGTGGGGAGCCGCCCAGGCCGGGGATCGGCGGTGGCACGTAGCACAGTCAGGCCAATGCACTTCAGAGTAGGAGCGCTGAGCAGGCAAACGGATTTACTCTGGCATTTAGACGTCTGAACCAGTGAAATCAAATGCACAATAAATGTTTGTGTGGTTTCCACCTGCTGCCTGCCTGGCACACCCACCTTTAACTGACCGCCTCCTTTGGCCTCTGGATCTCCCCTCTACCCAGTCTGATCTGCGGTTCTTAATTTATAATACAGTTTTCTGATAGGAGATCGGCAGGGGAGGAACGTAGGCCATGCTTCCCAGGTGTCGTCAGGGGTTGTGCCTGTTAGGTTGCGGGGAGCCCTGACCTCAGGGATATCTCTGGTGCACAGAGCAGGAAGGTGGGGCTGGAGCCAGGGCACGGTGGCCTCTTGGAGGCTCAGGGCCCACGGGGGAACAGTCCCCTCACCTCCTGAAGCCCGGGAGGGGCACGGCAGCTTACACACTTTTAATTGGAGCTCTGCCCAGGGCCACAGGACACGGGTCAGCTGGACACGGGGCTGGCTCGTGCTGCTGGGGTCAGCAGACCAGCCGCTGGCCTGCCCACATGCCAGGGTTCTGCCCCTGGGACCCAGGGCACGTGGTTCTCTGCCTGGGCAACCCCGGGCCTGAGTCCTGGCACATCTACAACTGTCGGGCAGCTCCCAGGCCGCACAGCTGGTGGTGCAGGTGGAGGTGCAGCAGTGATACCAGGCCCACGGGTGAATGGAAACACGCATATTGTAGGTAAAGGAATGTGCCTTCTGGACAAGACTGGGACGGACAGCTGTGAATTCTGACCTCAAAATGTAGAGAAATACACAGTAGAGAAATACTTTATCAGAGGTCAAGTAATTTCTTCAAAAAACCTTTTTCCACATTACAGAGTCATCCCTTTCTGTCCAGTGGAAATCCCTCAGAGCCCTGCCCCCCTTCCCCTATCTTGTTGAGCACACACCCAACCTGGCCCGTCGCCGTGGAGAACCGGTACTGTGCTGGCTACTTGGCCAGCGGGGCTCACGGCTTCTTCTGGTGGCTGCAGAACCCTGGTTTCCAGGCCTTTTTGGTTTCTTGGCGTCTCCGCACTCTGACCCTAGTCGATGTGCCCACCACCCTGGTGATAGTGGATTTCCCATCTGCCAGGGGTGGGTATACTGAGCCAGCCCCGGGGCCAGATAGGAGTGGAGAAAACCCCGGGGACACGAAGCTCCGGGACTTTTCCCGTATCCACTTGGGTCCCCATAGCTCGACCGCTTCAAGTTTGCTATGTCAGCAGCATGTTTTCAAGCTCACAAGGAAACAGTCCCAGGATAGACTTGTCAGAAGGAAGAGGCTCACATCCCCCCTCTGACCTTCCTTCAAGCACACCACCTACCACCTGGGAGTCCCCTCCCTCTGCCGTCTCCGTGAGGGACTCCCGTGTTAGGTGCTGCTCCGGCCGTGCTCCTCGCTGCTCGTCTGTGTTATCTTCACCCACTGTGTTGGGGCTGCTGCAGGGCTCTGGCCCAGGTGCAGTGCCTCGGCTCCTGCTCAACAAGACCCCCCCCTTCTATCCAGCATCCTCTGCAAGCACTGAAAGCCTTAGAGGGCCGTTCCTGATTCCTACTAACCACAGACTAAGCCAGGTGGTGCGCCTGCTAGAGAAGTCGCTGCAATCCAGAAGTCCATGAAGAAACTGGAGAGGCTCATTCCGACCATTTGCAGTTGCTAAAATACTCTGAATATATAGTTTTTAAGAGGAACATGTACCTTAGCCTTTAGGTATTTATTTTAAATAAGCATCCTTCCCCGTGACTTGGCTGCAGCCAGACCAGTTGGCGGAGTCTTGGGGCACCTGGTGGCAGAGCTGGTGCGTCTTCCTTGAATGGCAGCAGGAACAGACTGAACAACCCTTCTGCTGGGCTCTGGAGTTTAGCAAAAAAAAAAAAAAAAAAAAAAAAAAATCCCAGAGGGCAAACTCTCAGACAGTGGTGACCACTAAGATGTGTTACATGTGTCCAGAGGACACGCCCCACTGTTCCCTAGGGCTGCTCTCTTACCCCTCACTCTCATTCTCTAAAGACCCACTGTGGAAAAAAAATCATATTCCTGCTAAATAGGACTTTGTGCAGGTTTATCAAAATCACCCAGAATTTTTTTAGTGTAAAATCCCAACTTCTTGTAAAATTGATGAGCCACCAGTTGCAGCCTTTAACAAGACTCTTCTTTTCCAGCTACCACAGAGGTGAGCAAGCCACCCTTCCATCAGCTGCAGCTGCCGAGTCTGAACAGCCTGCTTTGCTTGAGTAAATGGGACTGTGAACAAATACTGCAGGGAAGAAAAGATGTCAGGCAGACAGGATGAATTGGATGCTGGAAATGGACTGTAGGATTAAAAGAAAAAATTTCAGGCGGGGGTAGGGGGCAGGGAAACACGTTTAGGAAAATGCAGTGAACTGCATCTTTGACTTGGAATCAAGTCCTAAGGGGGCAACAGGCCAAAAGGAAAGGACGGTAGGATGGAACCGAAGCTGTGGCAACACCTCCACAGCAGGGCAGGGCAGATGCTGGAAAGATAAAGATGGTGTGGGGACAAACTGGATAAGTTCTCCCGCCGTGCAGGAGAGCCACAAAGGAGCCATCAAGGGAAGGAACAGGCAGAGGGCACTTGCACCAGCCTAAGATGGGCTGACAGCGCTGGGGAGCCCTCCTATTCGAACAAGCGAAACCCGGACAATCTAGACGGTACTACAGTTTCCAGACATCAGATCCCAGACTGAGCAGGACAGCGATCCTGAGGGAGACCTGCCCGGGAAGGGGAGACCCAGGTGGAACCCAGCTTGAGACGGAACTAATTACGTAGCAAGGCCAGGGGAGCTCGAGTTCCCAGCAGAGGGGGCTGCACAGAGAGGGAGCTCCGGAGACCTGCAGCGGGTCCTCTCAGGCCGGCCCCCGGGTACTGACTAGCAGTGCACCCGGGAAACTGCCCGACAGTGGGGAACAGCACCCCCCGAAGAGAAGAGAAAATGCCCCCTTGAGTTGATACAAGGCCAGGACTAGTCTACATTCCCATGAGCCAGAATGGATTTGTGATCCACCTGTGATTCACGGTGAGCTGGGGAGACGACTAGCACAGTAACAGTTAAAGGCCGCACTCGTCCCACCCAAATATCTTAAAAGCAAGCCTTAAAGTGATCCAGTTATTTCAAATGAACTGCATCCCAGAACAAAGACAAGAATTTTAAAAATCCAGAACCTGGGTCGCTTGAGTGGCTCGGTCGGTTAGGGAGCCAACTCTCCATCTCAGCTCAAGTCATGGATCTCAGGGTCATGGGAGAGGGCCCTGCATCAGTATCCACACTTAGCATGGGGTCTGCTTGCGATTCTCTCCTGTTCCCTCTGCCCCTTCCCCTGCTGGCACACACATGGAATCTCTCTCTCTCTCTAAAATAAATAAATCTGTTTTAAAAAATAAAAATACAAATAAAGGAGCACCTGGGTGGCTCAGTGGTTGAGCATCTGCCTTTGGCTCAGGGCATGACCCTGGGGTCCTGAGATGGAGTCCTGCACTGGGCTCCCCACAGGGAGCCTCCTTCTCCCTCTGCCTGTGTCTCTGCCTCTATGTGTGTGTCTCTCTCATGAATAAATAAAATCTTTAATACACAAAAAAAACAAAAAACCACAAGTCGGAGTGCCTAGGTGGCTCAGTGGGTTAGGCATGTGCCTCTAGCTCCAGTCGTGATCCCAGGGTCCCTGCTCAGCATCTGCTTCTCCCTCCCCCTCTGTCCCTCTGCTCCTCTGTCCTGTTCTCCCCACCCCTGGCTCATGCTCTTTCTTTCAAATAAATAAAATCTAAAACAAAACAAAAAACAAACTGAGTGAAGTCATACCAGTAGATTAGCACTAGGAGAAACTGTGAACGACAAGACAGAAGGAATATGATCCCAAATGGCAAGTAGACGCACACGCCAGGGGCTCACCCTCAGCACTGTGACCTGGTGGCCAGTCCTGTGCACTGGAGGGTATTAGTGGCTTCCACTCACTAGATCCCAGAAGCACCTACCCCCTGCCCCGTTATGATAACCAAAACATCTCTAAGGCATTGCCAAATGTCCCGTGGAAGGAAAAGTCACTCCCCTTTGAAAATCGCTGGACTGCATAGATTTTTCTTTTGAATTTTTCATCCCTTTGTGCTTTTGAACAATCATCTAAGAGAATTCTAAGGCTGGGGCATTCAGCTCAGTAATTTGCCCTTTGTGGCTATTCTGTTCAGCCCACCTATTGTATTCTTTTTAATAGACTTTATTTTTTATTTTTTTATTTTTTTTAATTTTTATTTATGATAGTCACACACACACACACACACAGAGAGAGAGAGAGGCAGAGACACAGGCAGAGGGAGAAGCAGGCTCCATGCACTGGGAGCCCGACGTGGGATTCGATCCTGGGTCTCCAGGATCGCGCCCTGGGCCAAAGGCAGGCGCTAAACAGCTGCGCCACTCAGGGATCCCTAGACTTTATTTTTTAGAGCACTTTTAGGTTCACAGCCAAACTGGGTGGAAAGCAGAGCTCCCATATACCCCTGCCGCCGCCGTCATGCGTGACCTCTCCCACTGCAGACATCGCACAGATGCAACATTTGTTACACCTGATGAACCTCCATTAACACATCATTGTCACCCAAAATCCAGTTTTTCGCTGGGGGTTCACAAATATATACTAAAATGTACCCGTGGTGATAGTACAGGCTTACCTCCAAGATACTGCTGGCTTGGTTCCAGAACGCCACAGTAGAGCGAGTATCGCAATAAAGGGAGTCAGATGAATTTTTTGGCTTCCTACTATAGATAAAAGTTACATTTTACGCAACGCTGCAGCCTGTCAGCTGTGCAACAGAACTAGGTCTAAAAAAGCAATGTCCACACCGTAACTGAAAGCCACCTCGCTGCTATAAAATGCTGGCCCCGGGATCCCTGGGTGGCGCAGCGGTTTGGCGCCTGCCTTTGGCCCAGGGCGCGATCCTGGAGACCCGGGATCGAATCCCACGTCGGGCTCCCTGCATGGAGCCTGCTTCTCCCTCTGCCTGTGTCTCTGCGCCTCTCTCTCTCTCTCTGTGTGTGTGTGTGACTATCATAAATAAATAAAAAAATTTAAAAAAAAATGCTGGCCCCATCGGAGCGCCCAGCGAGCCGCTGTCCCTGCACCGGAGCAGGTCCCGCCTCGATGTCCCTGCCGCCGAGGGCCCGGGTGGGGCCCAGGCCGTGGCGTGTGGCGGCTTCCTGAACTCAGACGACAATTTGCGCGTGGCTTGACTTCCCCTCGCGGCCTCCCTGGTGCGTGTGGCGCTGCTGGACGGCGCTGCGCCTGCAGGAGAACGTCCTCCGGGCCTGGAGCCCGGCTCTGCGACCGCCGCTCTGTCCCCGGAGCGCAGGGAACCGCGGTCCTCCGCCGTCACCACAGCGGCCTTCCCGGTGCGTCACCCAGACGGATTCCGTCTCGGGAAACCACCTTCCCTGCTTGTCCGTGGGAAGCAGCTGCTCCCCGTCACGCTGTCCCATGGGAGGGCGTGACCTGGGCCCAACTTCAGGCTCTGCTTGGAACCCTGGTTCCCCTACTGTCCCTCCCGCCCGCCAGCACCCCCCTCCCCACCTGCAGTGACTTCCCCACCAAAGGCTCAAACCTTCGGTTTGTATAAACAGCAAAAACAAACCTGTTATCTGAGAAACACAATAAATCGAGAAGTAAAACAAGGTACGCCTGTATTGTTCAAAACACTTTCACAGCCCTAAAAATCTTATGTTCTATTCCTTCTTCCTTCCACCCGTCCCAGGCGGACTATTTAAAACTTGATTAGCGGGCAGCCCCGGTGACCCAGTGGTTTGGCGCTGCCTTCAGCCCAAGGCGTGATCCTGGAGACCCGGGATCAAGTCCCACGTCGGGCTCCCTGCATGGAGCCTGCTTCTCCCCCTGCCTGTGTCTCTGCTTCTCTGTGTGTGTCTTTCATGAATAAATAAATAAAATCCTTAAAAAAAATAAAACTTGATTATAGTTTTTGTTCAACATCTATTTGTTTCATAACTACCTTTAAGAAGAAAATCCCAGCAGTGCACTTATCTGTTGGAGACCAATTCTGGAAGCTCCGCTACTTTTGCCCTCGGGCATGAGTTGCTCTTTGGATCTCGTTTTCATGGAGATCGCATTCCTCAAATGTTTGATCTTTTTAAGATTTTGTTTATCTGACAAAGAGCACAGCAGAGAGAAGCAGGCTCCCTGCTAAGGTAACCACCACCACCCCCATCACCAAATGTCTGGTCCTTTTTTTTAAAAAAAAAATTATTTATTTATTCATGAGAGACACACACAGAGAGGCGGAGACGCAGGCAGAGGGAGAAGCAGGCTCCACGCAGGGAGCCCGACGTGGGACTCGATCCCGGGTCTCCAGGATCACGCCCTGGGCAGAAGGCAGCACTAAACCGCTGAGCCCCCGGGCTGCCCCAATGTCTGGTCTTTATTGAGCACTTACCTTGGTAATGACGACTTCCTGCGGCAGGTTGGAGCAGCCCTCGAGGAAGAGCGTGGTGGTGGCTCCGTGTTGCACCACACAGCGCCTTTAGTTGCCTCAGCAACGGGCCCTCCGTTCTTTCTAGGCCTCTATCCCCAGCCACGTGGGCACTATCTTCTCTGACTTGTCTCAGACTCCACGACACTCACTACATCCATCCAGAACCACAAACCCTCTAACTACTAATTGGCGAATCACCTGTGAGCCGTGCCTGGGCGCCCTCCAGCTCCCATCCACACAGCCCTCCCTGCAGATCTGGAGAAGGAAACCTGCCCCCTACCTTCCGACGTCCCCCACCCACCCTTGCTCTTCATCACCTGCAGGACCTTGGCTCTCCTCTCCTATCTCAGGGGCCTTGTGAGCTCCCCCTCTTCCCCCCTCCCCGCCCCGCAGCATATAAACAAGTTAGTGTTCTACAGCATTTCCCTTAGTCGTGTACTCCTCTCTCCTCTTTTCGGCTCTTTCTCCGCTCATCCTCTGGGATAGAGTTGACCACAGTCCTCATTCTTTCCTGTCCCATTCACCCGGCAACTCAGGGCACACTTTCCTGCCCTCTCCTCACTGCTGTCCTAAAGCTTCTGGTACTAAATGCACCAGTGCCCCCTAGTCCCCCTATAAGGAAGACACTTTCCCACGTCATCTCAGCTGCACTTTACACTCTCATCTGTTCTCATTCTTTCCTAATTCCCTTTCCTTTTCTCCCCTATGGATTATCCTTGAGCTCCTGTGGAGCTCTTGGCTTCTTAAACTTTGGTGTGTCCTTGGGATTTAAACATCGGACCCTTGGCCTCATTCAGGTCAGGATCTGAGGGTTGTGGGATGGAGCCCCAGGGGCTCTGTGTTCAGTGGGGAGTCTGCCTGAGATTCTCACTCCCTGCACCCCTCCCCCACTCACACTCTCTCAAATGAATCAATAAATCCTTTAAAAAAATTTTTTTCAGGGCAGCCTGGGTTGGCTCAGTGATTTAGCGCCTGCCTTTGGCCTGGGGCCTGATCCTGGAGACCCGGGATCGAGTCCCGCATCGGGCTCCCTGCATGGAGCCTGCTTCTCCCTCTGCCTCTGTCTCTGCCTCTCTCTCTGTCTCTGATCAATAAAATAAAATCTTATTTTTTTCAGTGTGTCCTTTGCTGTGGTCGCAACTGCCAAGTCACTGGCTCGGTATGCAAGCAAGAATGAAAGGACAGAAGGAACCAGAAATGCAGACACTTGCAGAGCTGGAAGAGACAACTCCTGGACCCCAAAAGGAGCTCAAGTCTTTCAAAAGCCGATTACAATTCAGCTTCTTGATAAAGCATTCCTGAACTCAAATTCTGGCTCCTTCATCGCCGTGTGAACTTGGGGAAGACGCTGAACCCCTACAGTCTCGATTTCCTCCCAACAGTGCCCACTCGCGGTTTACCACGGTTAAGTTACTCAATGCGTGACGGTGCTTACCGCGGGGCACGTGCTCTGGGCTCCGAGACGGCGGGGCGACCGGCAGGCCGGGGTCATGCTGCACCTGTCGCCCGCCCAGGCCCTGCACCGTCCCCGCTCGAGCCCTCCTCCGCAGCACCCCACCCCGCGCTCCTCCGCCCGCCCGGGGTCCGCTGCACCTGTCGCCCACCCAGGCCCTGCACCGTCCCCGCTCGAGCCCTCGTCCCTGCGCCCCCACCCGCGCTCCTCCGCCCGCCCGGGATCCGTTGCACCTGTCGCCCGCCCAGGCCCCTGCACCGTCCCCGCTCGAGCCCTCGTCCCTGCGCCCCCACCCGCGCTCCTCCGCCCGCCCGGGATCCGTTGCACCTGTCGCCCGCCCAGATCCCTGCACCGTCCTCGCTCGAGCCCTCGTCCCTGCGCCCCCACCCGCGCTCCTCCGCCCGCCCGGGATCCGTTGCACCTGTCGCCCGCCCAGATCCCTGCACCGTCCTCGCTCGAGCCCTCGTCCCTGCGCCCCCACCCGCGCTCCTCCGCCCGCCCGGGGTCCGCTGCACCTGTCGCCCGCCCAGGCCCCTGCACCGTCCCCGCTCGAGCCCTCCCCTGCAGCCCCACCCCAGGCCCCTGCCCCGTCCCCAGCTCGGGCCCCCGCGCACCCTCCCGCCGCCGGCGCGTCACCCAAGCCACAGACCCCCGCGGAAGCTGCAGGCGGGGCCCCCGCGCCCTGCGACGCCGCCGCCGTGGGTCAGCTCCGGGCCCGGGGTCCGGCGGGGACCGACTGGCCGAGCCGACCCGCGCGGTGCAGCGCTCCCGGGAGCCCGCAGTCCACGCCGCCCCCGCCCCCGTGACGCAGCCCGTCACCTGACCGCGCGCAGCCAATCGGCAGCCCGCCTGGGCCAGCCGCGTTATTGGTCTGGGTGCGGGGCACAGCCAATCCGGAGGCGGCCCGGCCCCGCGGCCCCGCCCCCTCCGCCCGGCCTGCGGGAGGCGCCCCGGGAGCCCGCGCGGCGTGTGGGTCGCGGCGGGGCGGGATGGAGGCGGTGGCGGCGGCGGCGGCCGGCAGGGACGCGCGGGGGCGCGCGGCGAGTCACCCCCGCGGCCCCGGGGAGAAGAGCCCGCCCGACAGGTGTGCGCGGGGGGGGGAAGCGGCCGGCGCTCTCCTCCGGGAAGCCCTCGGGGCGCCGCCGGGGGTCGGACGGGGGCGATGGGGGAGGGGGAGGCGGGGGGCTCCGCGGCGGGGTCCGCCCGGGGGTCGGGGTCGGGGTCCGGCGCGGGGCTGGAGGCCTACGCGGGGGCGCGGCCGGGGGGGGCTCCGCGGAGGTGCCCGGGGGGAAGAGCGGCCGCCCAGGCCCGGGGCAGCCCGCGGAGCCCGAGCTGGGGACGGACTCCGCGACGCCTTCCAGGGGTTCGGGGGCGGGGGTGCGGCCGGAGAGGCCGCCGGAGGCGCTGGGAATCCTGCGGAAAAGTCTGGGAGGCTGCCCAAGTTTCCCAGCAGCATTTATTGGAGAGACTCTCCTTTTTCCAGGGCAGAGTCTTCCCTGCTTTGTCGGATAGTAGTTGACGGCCCATTTCTGGATGGTTTCTCTACTCTGTTCCACTGATCCATGTGTCCGTTTTTGTGCCAGTCCCACCCTGTCTTCATGCCCACAGCTTTGTAATTAATACAGCCTGAAATCCGGCATTGTGATGCCCCCAGCTATGGTTTTCTTTTTCAGTTTTCCCCTGGCTATTCGGGGTCTTTCCTGATTCCACACTAATCTTAAGATTATTTGTTCCAACTCTCTGAAGAAAGTCCGTGGTATTTTGATAGGGATTGCATTAAACGTGTAAACTGCCCTGGGACAGTCTCTTCAATAAATGGTGCTGGGAAAACTGGACAGCCACGTGCAGCAGAATGAAACTAGACCACTCTCTTGCACCAGACACAAAGATAAACTCAAAATGGATGAAAGATCTAAATGTGAGACAAGATTCCATCAAAATCCTAGAGGAGAACACAGGCAACACCCTTTTTGAACTTGGCCACAGCAACTTCTTGCAACACGCGTCCATGAAGGCAAGAGAAACAAAAGCAAGAATGAACTGTTGGGCTTAATCAAGATAAGAAGCTTCTGCACAGCAAAAAAAAAAAAAAAACAGTCAACAGAACTAAAAGACAACCTACAGAATGGGAGGAGATATTTGCAAATGACGGATCAGATAAAGGGCTAGTTTCCAAGATGTATAAAGAACTTATTAAACTCAACAGCAAAGAAGCAAACAATCCAATCATGAAATGGGCAAAAGACATGAAGAGAAATCTCACAGAGGGAGACATAGACATGGCCAACATGCACATGAGAAAATGCTCTGCATCACTGGCCATCAGGGAAATACAAATCAAAACCACCAGGAGATCCCACCTCACACCAGTGAGAATGGGGAAAATGAACAAGATGGGAAACAACAGATGTTGGAGAGGATGTGGGAAAAGGGGAACCCTCTTGCACTGTTGGTGGGAATGTGAACTGGTGCAGCCACTCTGGAAAACTCTGTGGAGGTTCCTCAAAGAGTTAAAAATAGACCTGCCCTATGACCCAGCAATTGCACCACTGGGGATTTACCCCAAAGATACAGAAATGCCGGGACACCTGCACTCCAATGTTTCTAGCAGCAATTTCCACAATAGCCAAACTGCGGAAGGAGCCTGGGTGTACGTTGACAGATGAATGGATAGAGAAGCTGTGGTCTATGTATACAATGGGATATTCCTCAGCCATTAGAAACGACAAATACTCACCATTTGCTTCACTGTGGGTGGAACTGGAGGGTATTATGCTGAGTGAAGTAAGTCAATTGGAGAAAGACAAACATATGGTCTCATTCATTCAGGGAATATAAAAAATAGTGAAAGGGAATAAAAGGAAAGGAGAGAAAATGAGTGGGAAATATCAGAGAGGGAGACAGAACGTGAGAGGCTCCTAACTCTGGGAAACCAACAAGGGGTGATGGAAGGGGAGGTGGGTGGAGGGATGGGGTGACTGGGTGACGGGCACTGAGGGGGGCACTTGACAGGATGAGCACTGGTGTTATGCTATATGTTGGCAAATTCAACTCCAAAAAAAAAATATACAAAAAAAAAAAAAAAAAAGGTCTGGGAGGGAGAGGCAGTGTGTGGTCCAGAGCGCTGGCAGCCCGGGCACAGAGAAGTGGGGCAGAGACGGGAGCAGCGGGACTGGCAGGTGCACTGCTGAAGGTGGGGGGACGGAGGGAGAGGCCTCCCAGCCCCTGCCCGAGCGGCAGGAAAGCAGGCCAGTGGGTAGCTTCAACCCACTGGAACCATGCATGTTCCTGTCGGTGAGAGGTTCTCGCTCTTTCCACCAGAATGTGAGGAGTGTGTGTGTCTTTAACGTTTGGGTCCAGGCCTAAATCTGAGCATTTCTTTCAGGAGACAGTCTGCTCTGGTTGAACCTGAGCATGGGGAGCTGGGAAAACGCCCCCGAGGGAGACAGCGAAAAACAGTCACTCTATCTTCTTACATTTTGGTTATGAGCATTATAGTCTAGCTTTCCCATCCAGTATTGGCAGCATTCTAAGGAAGAAGCAAATAAGGGAGCCAAGTTACCTATAAGATGTTGATCTGAAATTCAAGCCATAAATGTTTCAATGTGCCAGCAGATTGCAAAGCTGTGTTCGCAGAACGGACACTAGCAGCTTGAGGAAACGGGTCCTTCTAGGAAGGGAGAGCAAAAGTGAGGGCACCTGTGGATTTAAATCACAGCAGGACCCCTGTGCGGAAAGGGCCAAGGGTGCCCAGAGGCAGATCAGACTTCCCAAAGCCTTCAACCTATAGGGTGACCTACCCCCGCTATAGCCAAGATGTTGCATTTAAAGCACAGTGTGGCCCGGCGTAGCGGAAGTCACTCCATGAGGCAGTGGCGACGGCGGCGGTGAGAGGATGAACAAGTTCGACGCATTGAAAGATGATGACAGTGGGGACCATGATCAGAATGGAGAAAACAGCCCACAGAAAGATGGTGAGAAGGAAAAAACGGAACGAGACAAAAGTCAGGGCAGCAGTAAGAGGAAGGCTGTTGTCCCTGGGCCGGCAGAGCATCCCCTGCAGTGACCCTCCTTTCTGGTCTCCAGAAGAACCCCCGGCCGTCCCACCAGCTCACAGAGCTATGGACAGACTATCAGACAGATCGGCACCTTTGCCTCTGTGGAGCGGTTCTGGAGGCTTTACAGCCACATGGTACGTCCCGGAGACCTGACAGGCCCAGTGACTTCCATCTCTTCAAAGAAGGAATTAAGCCCATGTGGGAGGATGATGCAAATAAAAATGGTGGCAAGTGGATTATTCGACTGCGGAAGACTTGGCATCCCGTTGCTGGGAGAATCTCATCCTGGCCATGCTGGGGGAACAGTTCACGGTTGGGGAGGAGATCTGTGGGGCTGTGGTCTCTGTCCGGTTTCAGGAGGACATTATTTCAATATGGAATAAGACTGCCAGTGACCAAGCAACCACAGCCCGCATCCGGGATGCCGTTGGGCGAGGGCTTAACCTACCTCCCAACACCATGATGGAGTACAAAACCCACACCGACGGCATCAAAATGCCAGGCAGGCTGGGCCCCCAAAGGCTCCTTTTTCAAAACCTCTGGAAGCCGCGGTTGAATGTGCCATGACCCTCTCTCTCCCTCTCTGGATGGCACCATCATTAAAGCTGGCGTCATCGGAGTCTCTTGTTCTGTTGGCGTGCTACCTGGAAGATCCTTCTGTCCTGGACAAGAGGAATTGGAAGAGCATTTTATGTTTTAAGAACAGGCTGATACACAGCAGCTACAACAACAGCTGAGATCACTTAATAAATGGTGCTAAACAAATAAAAAATAAAACAATGTGGTTTAAAAAAAACAAAATTGTATTTTAACAGCCATGTTGCTAATTGTATTTGAATTTTTGTGTGGCTTTGTTTAAACACTGTTACTGGTTTAAAGATCAGGTAAATTAATAGTATTTAGGCAGGACTACCTACTGTGTGTGTATATATATGAAAGCCTCTGAAGGTTTCTGTTATTGGTAAGATGTACAGATACATTTTTACTTAGGAGGGATCTTTCAGGAGGTGTGCTTTTCTGTGACATTTGGCTCTCCCGTAAACCCAGCCCCTGCTGCATGCCGGCCCTTGCTCTCAGTGCTGGTGGCGGAGCAGTGAGGGCAACTGGCAGAGCTCTGAGCCCCTGGAGCTGACCCATTACTCTCTACTGAGGTGGACAGTAAACAAGGCTAGTGTGTCACACACCGAGGCATGCCTGGGGAGACAGAGGAAGGAAGAAGGGGACTGGTGGCTGTAATTTTACTTAGAGCTGTGGGGAGCTTCACAAGAAAGTCAAGATGGAGCAAAGAAGGAAAGTGGGGTAGCAGGGTGCGGTCACGCTGGGCATGGGGAACTGAGGGAGGGAGGAGAAGTAGGCCTGTCCAGGCCCAGGGAGCACACAGGAGGGCCTGGCGAGGAATGGGCGGCCAGATCGTCTGAGCCTTCCCCCAGCCCAGAAATTACAGAGCAATAAAAAATAACTACCGATGAAATTAGAGAGCCCTCGGGAACATGGGGCTCCCTGGTCATGCATGCTTCCCCTCCTTCCACCTGGAGGACAGGAGGCACATCTGTCCTTCAGAGCAGTCAGGTAGGCTTCAAGGCTCAGGGGGCCATGGGTCCTACCAAGGGGTGGAAACAAGTTTTGAAAACCTAAGTGGGTGCTCTAGGGATTATAAGGGAAACTAGCAAATCTTAGATGATTGGAAACTATGCATACCTTTTCCATAATTCATGAAGATTGGGAGATCTCCCAAGTACAGTTGCTAGACGGCTGCCTGGTGTTTCTGCAGAGGAGCACCCTGCCCTTGACCGTATCTGCTCCTACTGGGGTGACAGTGAAGCTGTGTGTCCACATTCCATCTCCCTTTCCTTAATGGGCACATCTGTGTTTTCTTTCCAGCAGGAAAGTTTATATGGACTATAATGCAACCACCCCCCTTGAGCCAGAAGTCATCCAGGCCATGACCGAGGCCATGAGGGAAGCCTGGGGAAATCCCAGCAGTCCTTACCCAGCAGGTAATCCTAGAAGGCGCTCACAGATCCGGAGATATGGGGGGCAGAGGTGCTCTTAGGGAAATTGTACACCACACATGATCACTTGGTTTTGAATAGATTTTCTGTTAACTGCAAACCTGAGGTGTAATTTTTGGTTGGCTTTCAGGGAAGTCCAGACTTGTACATTGAGTCTGTTGATCCCATAACCTTTCATTTTCAACACACTCTCCTGTCCCCTTTACCCAGATGAAAAAGATGTCTTATTAAGAGCCATCTGTAATAACACTACTAATTAAAACCCTTTCATGTCTGGCTCTCACTTGATCCCTACAAAATTTGCAAAATAGATCTTTTAAATCATCAGGATTGCATATAATCCTGGCCTTTTTTTCTCATGAGATAATTACATTCAAATTCTTGATTTTCATTATAATAAAAATATTCTTATTTCCCATGTATTCTTATTTTCATGTGGATTATTCAATTGACCGTTTTGGAAAACAGTTTGCTTCAAATCAGTACTTTTACGTCATGGTTACATTATGTTTTTCAGATGGTAGGCCAATCGTACCTTGCTTATTTGATGCATATCAAAGATAATCAAGATAAAGTATCTTAACTGTAGATTCTGATGAAGCAAAAGAGCTTTCAGGGGGAGACTGTGGGCAAGCCCCAGGATACTTTGATACTTACATACAACTTTACAGGCTTTCATGGGGTTTCAAACCTATTTGGTATAAGCTTCATAACTAAAAGCTCTTCCAGTATCAGGGACTAGTTATTCATTAACTTATTTATTGGTTTATTTGGTACATGTATTTTGGCTTATCTTCTGGACATTGCCTTGTATCCAGTAGTAAATTGTACTCTCTGATGCATTGAACCTGAAAATATGGAGGACAATTAAATGCTAATAGAAAACATGTCTCATAAACAGGTTTAGGAATAACCCCAAAGGAAAAACTCCCCTTCTTGATCTGATGAAACCTGTCAGTGGCTTTTAGGTTGCCCTGAAAGCCTTCATTTCTTTAAGAATCAGAACTAACGTATGCATTGCCATTCCCTGGTTGGTACTCAAGTAGAAGTGGGGAAAAAAGATAGAAAACCACCTTAATGATAGAATGGCTTAATTATTTTCACTATATTATGATTTAATAATGATTATAATTCCCCCAGGAGAATTTATTTTAGGGAAAATGTTAAGGACGTGTGGGAAGAGTTTAGATACCCAAGATGTTTATCACTACCTTGCTCATCATAGTAAAGAGCTGGAAATAACCTCAGTGTCTATCGGTCAAGGACTGATCACATTAAGTATGCTGAAGCCCTAAGTGGACTTCTGGAGCCTGTCAGAGCCATGGTGTAGACTATAGCGATGACCTAGAAGCAAAGTAGCAGCCCCTGGTTCAAGTGGGAAAGGCATGTTATAAAACATGATGTGCAGTATGGTTCCTTTGTTTCTCATACCCACCCCCTAAAGACAAACTAGATGAACAAATGTGGAAAATATGTCGTTTTGCTGTGAGAAACAGAAATCCCCCAAGTAACAGTAGCTTAAGCAGGTTGAAGGTTATGTCTTTGCCAGCCTAGGGCCCAGGTAGTCACACAGCCATTACCAGGGACCCTGATTCCTTCTATTGCCTCCCATGTTCCACGCACTCTTTCCTCTTGGGGTCACAATGGCTGCTCCAGCTCAAGCCATCACATGAGTACTCCAGCCTGTGGGAAGGGAAGAGAGAGGAGGAGAAGGGGATGTGTGAGGCCTCCATAACACTTCTGGAAGTTGCGTGTACCACTCTGGCTTATAACCCACTGCCAGAGGTTGGTCCTGTGGCCATGCCTTGGCATTCCAACTGCAGTGGAAGTTAGGAAATGAAATCTTAATTCTTAATTAACCTGAGAATTTCTTACTGTAGATGTGGTCTTCATTCAGCCAGGAGCCAGCTGCAAATGTCACCGTGGTAGGAAGGGAGAGTGGAGGGATCCCTGGGTGGCGCAGCGGTTTAGCGCCTGCCTTTGGCCCAGGGCGCGATCCTGGAGACCCGGGATCGAATCCCACGTCGGGCTCCCGGTGCATGGAGCCTGCTTCTCCCTCTGCCTGTGTCTCTGCCTCTCTCTCTCTCTGTCTCTCTCTCTCTCTCTCTGTCTCTCTGATGACTATCATAAAGAAATAAATTAAAAAAAAAAAAAGGGGGAGAGTGGAAGAGGAGTGGACAACCAGCAGCACCAGCACAGATGAGATGCACACCAGACACTTCCACCACAGTTATTTTTGAGAGAATTGTGGGAGGTTTTGAGTATTTTCTTTTCGTGAGGTGGACATGGGAGTCTGAGAGGTTCAGGGGACAATGCCATGTAGGACTGTAGAGGCCACTGTGAATACCCAGCTTACATCTGACAGGCGCAGTATCCAGAAGACTCTGAGCAGAGGAATGATATGGTTCATCCCCGCAGTTCTCCAATTTTCGGGGTCACAACCCCTTTACACTCTTAAGACTTATTAAGAACTCCAAAGAGCTTTTGTTCATAAGTACTATATGTGTAGATACTAGAGCGTAAAATTGAGAAACTTTAAATAAATATGTATTTATGAATTCATTAAAAATAACAATAAGTCCACTACATGTTAACATCTCTATGAAAAGAACCTATCCTTTCCCAAACAGAACAAATTTAGAAGAATGTCATTGTTGTACGTGTTTGAAAATCTCTTTAATGTCTGTCTAAACAGAAGACAGTTGGATTCCCATACCGGCTCCTGCATCCAATCTATTGCAATATTCACATCATGTAGCCTCTGGAAGGCATCACTGTATACTTTCCAGAAAATGAATATAAAAACACAAGCGAGGCCTTAGTCTTATGATGAAGCCAGATTTGACTTTGTGGACTCCAGAAAGTACCTGCCCCAAGAGCTCCCCAAATGACACTTTGAGAATAGCTGATTTCACCAGTATTGGTTGAGTACTTACTTCATGCCAGGCCCTGTTCTGGCGAGCTATAAAGCACAGGGTACGACGTGTATTGGGTTGTCAGGGCATGACTTTGGCCACTGCCTGGAGAATGGACCACGGTGGGGACAGTGGAGTTGGGAGCCTGCTAGGAGAATATTTCGGCAGTGGCCTTGATGGGGCTGTTGTCTGGGCAGTGCAGAGGTGGGGCAAGATTCCGGGCATTTTTGATGGCAGAGCTTTACAGGATTTGCTCATGGGTTGCATAATGCGGTATGAGAACGGCAAGAGCCAAAGCTTTTGGCACCAGGCCCCTGGAAGGACTCACCATTTATTTACTGAGATAGAAAAGGCTGAGAGGAACATTTCGGGGGAGAAATCATGCATTCGGCATGGAACAAGTGTAGTTTCAGATGCTCTGGCTACCCAGGTGGAGCGAGTGGAGTCTGCAGTGCCACCCTGATTCTTTAGTTTTGAGTAGATGAGGGAGGGAGGGAGGACGTGGCCTGAGCTTGGGGCTGTCTGCCATCTGGATTTGGAGCCCCGCCCAGCAAGGGACTCAGAGGAGGAGGGGGAACAAAGGAAGGAGGGGGAAGAGGAGGAGCAGGAAGGGGAGAGCCACTCCCCTTCAGGGAAGGAGGTGGGGACCTGGATCTAGAACACAGGGCCCTTGGGCAGAGTAGGTTTGGGAGGCCAGCAAGCAGAACACCTGATTGCAGGGAGTTCAGAGGCAATGGGAAGAGGGGTGGAGATGGGAAAGGGAAAGGAGGAACAGGCCATTGCTGGCAGGGGGGTAGGTAGAGGGGCTCTGGTGTGAGGAACGGCCAAGTGAAGAGGGGTTGCTTTAACGGATCATGGGAGCCCCGTGCGCCTCTTACTATCCGTCCTGCATCCTGAAAGCCAGGAGTTCAGAGTCTTCTCTAATGTCAGTTACAGTTACCAACCACCCTTTACATTTAGTTACACCAACAACTTCAAACATTCCAGAAATTTAAGAGTAAGAAAACGGACACCCAGGTGTCTCCTTCCTAGATCCAACAGTGTTGCCCTTACCTCGATCTCTGGTCTCTTTCTTTCTAAATGTACTGCTTTTTCATGAGCCTTTGAGAATGAGTTGCAGGCAGCGTGATAGATTATCACCTATGTGTGTGTGAGAGAAAAGGGACTTTATCGCATCACATTACCATCATCAAACCTGAGAACCTGGCTCTGAAATTCAGGCCATATTCCAATTTCCTCAATTGAGGATATTACTTTTTTTTTTAATTTATTTATTCATGAGAGACAGAGAGGCAGAGGGAGAAGCAGTCTCCCTGTGGGGAGCCTGACGCAGGACTCGATCCTGGGACCCTGGGATCATGCCCTAAGCCCAAGGCAGACGCTCAACCACTGAGCCACCCAGGCGTCCCAAGAATATTACTTTTTAAAGAGAGAAGACTAGATGATTACCTTGGACTGGGGGAAAGAACCACTGCCAGCAAACCTATCATGGGTTGGTTGGTTTCTTTTAACTCCTTGTGCCCAAGTTCTATTTTGGAACATAACACCTGCAGGAAAGTTGAAATAACAGTATAAGGAGCACCTGCATTTCCTTTACCTGGATTTCTCCAGCATTACTACTCTGCCCCATTTATTTGAATCATTTGAAAGTACGTTGCGAACAGACTTCACTCCTAAATACCTAAGCAGTGTCTTCTAAGAACAAGGACATCCCCCCGCCCCAGGGACTGAACATTAACCCAGGGACAGCATCTCATTCCCATTCCCATTCTAATCTCCTTGCATATGCTTCTGGTGCCATTAGATCCCTTTTGAAAATACAAATTGTAAGTAAATGAAAAGAGCAACCAGAGGTCATTTCTGGCAGTTCTCCTGCCTCCAGAGTAGACAGTGTTCCAGTAGCTCATGTTCCCAGGACTCAGTTTACTTCCTCCGCACCAGTGTGGAAGAGACACTGCAACACAGACCCCGTCCCCCTCCGGCAGCCTCGGTGGGGTGTGATTAACGTACGTGGAACCACAGAGGCAAAGTTACAACTTGATAACTTCGAAATCATCACCAGGAGAGTGAACATTGCCACGGACCCCCAAAGTCCCCTGGGATTCCCTTTTGTAATCTCTCCCTGGACCATCCCCAGGCAACTACTGGTAAGGATTAGTGTGTGTTTTCTATATTTTCACGGAAATGGAATCTTACAGGGCTTTTTGCCTGGCTGCTTTCAGCCAGCATAGTTATTTTGAGATTCAGCCACGTTGGTCACAGTGCTCCTCTGTATGGATGCACCAGTGTGTTCGGACCTTCCTCTGTTGCTGGACCTTTGAGCTGTTTCCAGTTTCTGGCTATTCTAAGTAACACCACTGGGGTAGCCAAGCTGCGGACACCTGCTCTCTTTTCTCAGTAAATAATAACTGTCATAAATACCTAGGACCAGGATGGCTGCGTCACGTGGCAGGTGCATATTTGACTTTTTAAGAAACCGCTGTCCTCTCTCCACAGTGGCTGCGCCATGTCCTGTCCCCGCCGGCGGCGTCCTAGAGGTTCAGTTCCTCCAAGGCCGCCTGAGTGCTCGGACTGGGCAGTCCTCATGTTGACTCCTCTCCTGGCCGCGGAGTGCTGGTGGGGCAGCCCTGTGAGCCCTCATCTAGAAAGTTCTCTAAGACTCATTGATTAAGTGTAAAAAGGGAAGCATTTGCAAAATAATAGGTGACTTATGAAACCCATTTTTGAAAAGAAAATCCTGTGAGGCACTTATGTGAAGGTCTCCAAGGGTGTTGGAGAAGGTTTTGGGGGGTCCTGTTCCAAACAGCAGCAGTGATTGCCCAGGAAGAAGGCTTCCTTCTTGCAGGAAGCCCAGAAGTGAGTGTGTGTGGAGGACAGGGCTCCAGCGGCACCCAAGAAGCGCTGAGGGTGGCTGCTGGGCAGCCTCCCGCCCACGTTGATCGACATTTCTTAGAGTCTTTTTACACATCACCAGAATGACTAGATTTACCAAACTCCACACACCTTCACTACTTAGAAGTAAAACCTATACAGTAGTCTTAAGGAGTATGTGAATCACTCTATATGTTGATTTTTACCATGTACCACGTGATTTTACATTTCTATTTATGTAGGATGGATGGATTGATTTGGTGGTGCCTGCTATCAAAAAAAAAATTTTTTTTAACAAGTAGATCTGAATAGTCAACAAACTTTGGAGACTATTGATCCAATAGACCAAGTAAGAATTGACATTGACATTGTCAGAATTCCCACCTGAAGTCTTCCTTTCTCTGCCACACACAGTTTGATCCCTTCTTTCGTGCCAGCCAGTGAAACTGGGTGATAGATGGGGTGTGTGGCCCCGTGTGACAGCAGATCTGTCCCTGAGGCAGTGACCTCCCATGCACCCAGGGACCTGCACTGAGAGATGCGGCATTGGACCTTGTGTTGAGGAGTCATGAGCATTCTTTTTGCTTATTTTTGTTGTTTTGCAGCGTGATCTTAAGCAAATTATTTCATCCCTTCACCCTCCTGTCTTGATGAATGGGGAGCAAGGCAGATGGCCACAGCTTCCCCTCTCCTGTAGCATCCGGTAAGAAGAAGACCACATCTTCGGGGATTTTAGGGTTCCCGGGAGTCCCCCTGTATTTGCTTCCACCTTTTACTAAGTCTCAGTAGGTGTCACTGAGTTGGTCCTATCTTGCTGCTGCCCCTTCACCAGCATATTCCTAGGTTGTGGCCTATTGTATTCATGTTAATGGGACATGGGTTGTCTTAGAATTGCCCAATTAGAGTTTTCCCTTCATGTCTGGTTCTTTTTTTTTTTTTAAGATTGTATTTTTAAGTCATTTCTAAATCCACTGTGGCTCTCAAACTCACAACCCTGAGATCAAGAGTTGTACGTTCCATTAACTGAGTCAACCAGGCGCCCCTTGTCTGGTTGTTCTTTTAAAATGTGTTTATTGGACTTAGTGAAGCGACATTAATGAGTTTCCATTTTGGTCTTTCAAGGTAGGAAAGCCAAGGACATTATTGACACAGCTCGGGAGAACATTGCGAAGATGATAGGTGGGAAACCTCAGGATATAATCTTCACTTCTGGAGGCACCGAGGTAAAGTTTCTAAACAGGCTCACAGTCTTTTAACTGTTAAGTTATATGAAAAAATAGAACATGGTTCCCACCTTGTTTTGTTTTGTTTTTTTTAAGTCATGCTTTGTCTTGGTCTTTCTATTTTTCAAATTAGCTTCATATAATTAGCCAGTATTTATCTATAAGTAAATTCCAGGTGGTTAATAGGATATTTGTAATATAATGTGTAAATTAACTTGCTTTGCATTATTTCAACAAAAAGAGTTTCCTCTTTATTTTGTCCTGGAATTATTCAATTAAATCCCTACTAAGTTGTTTGTCTTACAAAGCTTTTGAGGTTTGACTCATTCCAGATGTACTTTTAAATTAATAGAAATAATCAAAAACAGTGGGATGGTGTCGAGGCTTCTGCTCAATTAGTAATAGTGTCTCGCTTTCTTTCTGGGAAGGAAGGCAGGACTGTCCCCCAGAGGTGATGTGACTGTCTGCATAGATTTTCTCCCAAGAGAATCTGCAGCTAGATTATTAGAGTTAATAAGAAAATGTAGCAGTTATTAGATACAAAAATCAGTCATGTTTTTATGTACCAGTAACAATCAGGTGTGTTGTCAAAAATTGACCTTTCTGCTCTCAAGTCAATATGTAACACAAAGACAGAAGATTGAAAGTTGTATTACTTTGTAGGCAAAGGAGGCTGCAGCAGGAAAATCATGCCTTCAAAACTGCAAACCCACCCAGGTAAAAGGCTGAGGGATTTTATAGGAAAATACAGCATCCAGGTAGTGTTGATAGGAATCTGGTGCATGTTACCAGCCATGTTCATTATGTCTTCATTGTGGTCTTATGACCAGCATCAGTACCGGCCATCCAAGGCCCATTACTAAGTATCGATACTGAATTCCTGGAACAAAAGATTACAGAAAAACAAGTGAAGGGGTGGAAAGCTTCAAGAGTGAGAGGGAGAAAAATGTGTTCAGTTTAAAGTCAAACCTTGCTGGAACATTAGTCTGTTCCTCTTAATTTCCAACCATCCCTATATTTCTATAGTGATTTCGGGTTTTTACCAGAGCATGAAAAATATCAAGTACTTAGGAAATAAACCTAATAAAAAAGAATTTGTAAAACCTTTTTAATAGACTCTGCCCCACCAGGAAAGTCATAGAAGTATTAGTGTATACCACTTTCAAAGAAATTCTGAAAAAATAGAGCAACTCACCATGTTCCCAGATTGGAAGACCCAGTGTTATAAATACATCAGTTCTTCCCAGTTGATCTGTAGATTCAATGCAACCTCCGTCAAAATCCTGAAACTTTTTTTGGTGGAATCTCAGAAACTAATTTATATGGAAATACCAAAGGCCAAGACTTGTCAAGACCTCTGGAAGATGAAGAACACAGTGAAATGACTTGCTCCACCAGATATCCAGCCTTTTATAAAGCTCTGCTGATTAAGGCAGATGGTCTTCAGGCAAGGACAGACAGTAGACCAGAAACAGCACTGTGCCTATAAGGGCACTTGTCATGTGACTTGGGTAATCGTGTATCCTGGTTTGCTCAGGACAGTCCCAGGATATGCCTGTTGTCTTGACATAATTTTAATAGTGCTCTCTTAATTCTTAAGTTTTTCTGGCTCAGATGCTAGATTATATGATCGCCATATATGACTGAGGTAGCATAAGAGAGCAGGAAAAAAGCATGGTCTCTAGTAAACAGTGCTGGGACAACTGTAGGATTCACAAAGAAAAAGGAAATTGATTTCTGCTTCACAACATAAAATAATTGTCACAACTTCAGGTGTAATAAATACCTAATTATGAAAAATAAAATTTAGAAAGCCTTCACGTGACAAGTTTATTATATCTTTGTGATAGTTAAGAGCAATGAATTTGTTACATATGATACAGAAAGCATTAACCATAAAGGAGAAGGCTGATAAATTGTACCACCACCACCACCACAAAACCAACTTTACTTCATCAGAGTCCTATGAAGAAACTAAAAGACAAGCTAGACAGTAGGAGAGGTTTGCAAAATGTAACTGACAAAAGACTAGAATCTAGAATATAAAGGCAGGTAACTCAATAGAAATATGGTCAAGAAACTTGAGTATGCTTTTTACAAAGCATGTGAAAAAGTACTTGCTTTCATTTTCAGAGTAAAAAACATTGAAATACCTCTGCACACCTCAGAATGATAAAAATTAAGAATTACAAAAGTAGTATAGATAAAGGACAGAGCGGTAAGCGCTCACAGATGCAAAGCATAAACTCAAATGCCATTTTGGGAGTGGGTTGGCATTATCTGAAGTCAAAGACGTGCATACACTGTCAACCAGCAGTCCCACTCACAGGGCACATCCTGGACAGGTGAGGCACATGTGAACCTGGGGACAGGTAGACTGCTCATGATAGCCAGAAACTGGAAACAATTCAGGTAGACCAATGTTATTAGGTTGTGATGCACTCCTACACAGCGGAATGTCGCACAGCTACCTGCAGCAGTGCATGGATCTTGAGCTGTGGAATGAATGAAGTCAGTTAAAGGGCCAGTTGAGCCCAGTCTGGCTGAGTGAGGGATCAGGGAGCTGCCACCATACCCCTAAGCCCATGCCCCTGGGGCCAGGCTCTCAGTGGCCCACAAGAAGCTAGCTCAGCCCCAGCTGCCTGGTAGGGCCCAACAAAGGCTCTGAAAGTTAAGAAAGCAGTGCTGAAAAGGCGTGCACAGTCACAAAAAAAAAAAAAAAAAAAAAAAAAGATCCGCATGTCACCTACATTCCGATGACCCAAGAGTCTGTGTCTCCAAAGGCAGCCCAAATATCCTTGTAAGAGCACCCCCAGGAGAAACAAGCTTGATCACTATGCCCTCATCAAGTTCCCCCTGACTACTGAGTCAGCCATGAAGAAAATAGAAGACAGCAGTACACTCCAGTTCACTGTGGATGTCAAGGCCAATACGCACCAGATCAAACAGGCTGTTAAGAAGCTCTTCCACATTGATGTGGCCAAGGCCAACACCTTGATCAGGCCCGATAGAAGAAAGCATGTGTTCGACTGGCTGCTGACTATGGTGCTTTGGATGTTGCCAACAAAATTGGGATAATCTAAACTGAGTTCAGCTGGCTCAAAATCTAAATATAAATTTTTCACCAAAAAAAAAAAAAAAAGAGTTGCTTGCATAGGAAAAGCAGAGAAATGATTCCCAGACACATCAGGGTGGTAGTGGGCTCCATGGGGATGGGGAGGAGGGGACTGTGATTGAGGGGAGCCTGGGGTGCTTCCACGTGGGGCCGTGTCCACTGTCTTGATCAGGTAACAGTTACTCAGTATTCACTGCTATACTTCTATTAAACTTATGTTTGTATTTTACACACTTTTCTGTATCTACAATTTAAAGTAAGAGAAAAGGTTTTTTGGGGGAGTTTTGTTTGTTTGTTTTTAAAAAGACTTCTACTCTGAACCTTTCAGTTATCCACTCTGCCTACAGGAAACCAATTTCATTAGCTTCCTGGTGTCTTCCAGAGTCTATATGTTAAAAGCAAATAAGTGTTTAGATTTTATATATTCTTATATCCTTCCATATTTACCATTTCAAGGATTTTTTTGCACGTATAAGCCAATATGTGTGTATTTCCCCTTTTTTATACAAATTGGGTAGAGTACTGTATATATAACGTCTGCTGCCTTTTTAAAAAGATTTTATTTATTTATGAGAGAGAGACAGAGCATACGTTGGGGCGGTGGGGGGCAAAGGAGAGGGAGAAGCAGACTCCCCACTGAACAGGGAGCCCAAGGTGGGGCTCAACCCCAGGACCCTGGGTTCATGACCTAAACCGAAGGCAGACATTTAACCAACTGAGCCACCCAAGCGCCCCTACCACCACCACCACCACCACCACCTCCTCCTCCTCCTCCTCCTCCTCCTCCTCCTTCTTCTTCTTCTTCTTCTTTTTTTAATTACTATTTAGCAAGTCTGTTTGTATTTGAGATCTTTTTATCTCTGCACATAAAGTGTTTCCTTGGTGTTTGTACCTTGGTATCTGTTGAACAGTGTTGCATGACTTGTTTAACCAGTCCCCTTATTGGTAGACCCTGAAGGGCTTTCCAAGGTCAAGCTGTTACAAACCGTGCTGCACCTAATAAGTGGCCCATCTGTACATCATTTTGCTTCTGTGGAAGTGCAGTGGTGGGATCAAGTCCAAGGGTCAGAGGGCTTATGTCAAATGGCCCTTAATATGGCAAATTATACTCCCATCAGTAGAGGGTACCTAGGCAAAACTTTCTTTTTTGATAGATTTATGAAATGTAAAAATTCATAACATTGCTTAATAAGACAGGTATAATTGACAGCAAATGAATTCTGACATTTTGGAAAGTCTGAAACCCCAAGTCTTTGTTATTGGGCAATCAAAAGGTGCAGCTCAGAAGTTGAATTTCTTTGGGACCATTTTGTCCTCTAATCATTAGCCACGTGGAAAATGAAGTCAGAGAAACTGCCTCTGTGGCTGTAGCTCAAGTATTATAAATGCCCTTTCTGTTCTCTGCAGTCCAACAACTTAGTGATCCACTCGGTGGTGAAACATTTCCATCGAACCCATGCATCAGAGGGGACCCAGGCCGAGCCGAGCGGCCCCCTGGTGGGGGCCGTACCCCACCTTATTACCTGCACCGTGGAACACGACTCCATCCGCCTGCCCCTGGAGCACCTGCTGGAGGAGCAAGTGGCTGGTGAGTGACCAGCCTGGCTGAGTTCCCACAGGGCAGCTCCACTTGCCCCCACTAACCGATTCCCAGGGGAGGAAGCCGTCCCAGCCCAGGTGAATCATTTACCCTCCACACACAGCCTCCCTGGCTGTCATCCTCAGGTGCAGGGGTTACCCAGCCAGTTCCCACATGGCAGTCAGTCAGCGCTGCCACTTTCTCCCTCAGGGAAAACATGGGCAGTCAACATGTAGATCTGGGCTCGTCTGCATCCATCAGCTGAACAGTATTTCAGATTCGTGCATGTGATAGAGACACACATTGTTCATCTGTTTGTTTGTTTTAAAGATTTATTTATTTACTCATGAGAGACACAGAGAGAGAGAGGCAGAGACATAGGCCGAGGGAGAAGCAGGCTCCCTGTGGGGAGCCCGATGTGGGACTCGATCCCAGGACCCCAGGATCACACCCTGAGCCGAAGGCAGATGCTCAAGCACTGAGCCATCCAGGCATCCCTTCATTGGTTTTTAATGATTGAACCTTGGCAAGAACAAGGGTCAAATAGACATCATCAGCTTTGGGGGATAAACACAGGAATAAATGTGCTCTCACTGTACGACTTCACCCCCACATAAGAGGGAGGCCTCGCTGGGGGGCTCAGGGGCACAGGCTCATGGGGAGGGGAGGCACTCAGGAGTGCAGGCTCACCAGGGTCTGAGGGGTGCAGGATCACCCGACTGGGGGGTTCAGGGGCACAGGCCTGCCAGGGGGCTGAGGGCTCAGTCAACCATAGCCAGCAGGGCAGCGGCTCTGACCTTCCGCTCTTCCTGTGCTGTGGAGTCTCAAGACACGGGGCACAGATCACAGACTTTTGAAAACTATGAGCCCTTTTCCTCCCCAAGACAGCTGAGGTGCATGCTTTCCTTTAAACAAAGTCACTTTCCTCTCAGCCTCTCTAATCTGCCTGGAAATCTGAAGGTGAATCAAGGGCAAGTATTTTTATCATAAAGATAAAGGACTGTAGCACAGTACTCTGACTATGAAAGTTTTTTTTTTTTTCCAAAGAATTTATTTGAGACAGAGGTCATGAATGGGGAGGGAGGGAGAAGCAGACTCCCCACTGAGCAGGGAGCCCATGGGGGGACTCGACCCCAGGACCATAGGATCATGGCCTGAGCCCCCCCAGGCACCCCAACTATGAAGCTTTTCTATTGCTTTTTCTGTTTGCCTACTACAGGGTTTTTCTCTCTCTGGTCTGACCTAGATGCACTATTTTAACTGAAAAAAAAAATAGATCAAGTCTGACCTTCTTATTTCAGCTCTTGTTCCTTTCCAACTTGTTGCCTTTCTCCCCCCCCCCTTACTTTCTGTACTTACAGGGAAGAGCGACACATCCTTCTTAGTTGCTATTGCATTGACCCTCCTGCTTAAATTACACAGATTTTTACAAAGTACAGACACCCAGGCTGTGGAAATAATTTAAACCCTATAGAAAGGGATAAAGTACAGAGTGAAGGTTTTTCCCTTGGTGTACCCCAAGTCCGGCTTCTCAAGGCAACCACTCTTTACTTTTGCCTGAGTTCTTCTGGTGCTTAGCATCATCATTTTAATTACTTCCTACTTAATCACGTGCAAACATAAGCTCCATTTCTTGGTTGATCAACTTAAGAGTCTGTCCATTGACTCCCTGATGTAGAATGAGGACTTGGACGGTCCCCTGACCCCTCCCCCATTCCCTGGTCATGGCGGCTTTGTGGAGACGTAATTCACACACTGTTCAGCTCAGCCATCTGAAGCGTTCACACTGTTTGGTGGCCCTTAGTTTATTCACCAAGCTGTGCAGCCATCACCGTAATCAGAACATCTCATCACCCCCGACAACCTTGTGCCCATCCACTGCAATTCTCCATTTGCCCCACTCCTGGCAACTGCGAATCCCTGTCCTGTCTCTGTTGCCCTATTTCCTAGGACTTTCTCATGAATGGAATCATAGAATATGTGATCTTTTTGACTGATTTCTTTCAACTAGCATGTTTTCAAGGTTCATTCATGATGTAGCATGTACCAGTACTTAATTTCTTTTATGGATTTATAATATTCATTTTATGTGAATTCCAGTTTATATAAAAAGTATTCACATTATTTATCCATTCATCAGTTGATGAACATCTGATATTACAAATAATGCCATTATGAACACTTGTGTACAAGTTCTTGTGTGGATGTATGTTTTCTCTTGGATTTATACCTAGGAGAGGAATAGGTGGGTCATATAGTAACTCTGTTTAGCCCTTTGAGGTGACCTTCATATTCCAAAGTCGCCGCACCCTTTTATGTTTCCGCCAGCAAGGCACGAGCGTTCCAATTTCTCTGTATCCTTGACAGCATTTGTGAGTGTCTGTACCTCTCATTATGGCTGTCCCAGTGGGTGGGAATTGGCATCTCATGGTTTTGATCTGCATTTCCCTGATGGCCGATGATATTGGGCATCCTTTCATGTGTTTACTAAAAAGACAAGTAATCCTGTCCAGGGCTGCCTTTCTTTTGCTCTCCTTTGAGTCTTGTAATGGATACGTGAGCTCTACCCTTCTCTTGCTGGCCCCTACCCTGTCCCCGGCAGCCCTCCCAGGCCTGCCATCCTCTCTTGGGCATGTGCTGCTCTTTCTCAGTGACAGCCGGTGCTTCTGCCACCCACTCACTGGGTATATGGAGGGGGTGCTAGGTCATCACACCCAGCCCCTGCCTGCCTCCACAGTTGCCACTCCACGCTCCATGCTGTGCACGCTGGACATGGATGATCACCAGATCCTTTCACACTTTTCACCTATTACTATTCTGAGTGTTTGTTTCCTACTCCTGTTAATCTAATGCCATAAACTTTCTATATTCTGGGAATTCCTCAAAATTCCTTGTCCACAAGTGATATCCCTAGTTTAGAAAATAACTCTTCTCTCATTTCAGTGGGTCCTTGAGAAAGTAGGTGCATTTGTCTCATACCGTTTTGAACCAAATCTTGATTTAGTCACCTTCACTTATTATCTGTCTCCAATAATGAGATTATAAGAGCTTGGAACAGTGCCTACGACACAGTAGGTGCTTAATGAATGTTTGCTCAAGGTTGAACGAGTGAAGGTTGAGTACTTGGTACATTAAGGTGTTCTCATGAAGATGGATGCGTAGGAAGATCCTAGGATCACCTCGCCCCTTGGGTACATCCAGATAACATCCATATCAGTGTAAATAACCCAAAAAATGACCTGAAGCCTGGCATAACAAATTCTCCACAGCTAAATGTAGAGAAGAGGCCACATCAAAGAGGGTAGGAAGGGTGGAGACATGGTTGGAAGCCAGATGCACCCATGGGACTGCACATGGGGGCAGGACACCATGGGTGCAGAGAAGGAAGAGGAGCAGACCCCATCCAGGAACCTCAGGTGTGGGGAACCTGCACAGGGAAGACAAATCCCCATACATCTCCATGTTGGCTTTGGAAACCAGAGGGGCCTAACTTCATGGGTTCTTATGATCAGTGTGGCTTAACACCTGGAACTTTGAAAACTTAATGGGCTTGGTTCTGGCAGAGCTGGGAGACCAAGAAGAAACTGGCCCCACCCTTACAGAGACAGTACAACCAACAGCCCCATGGAGATACAGCATAGAAACAGCAGTTTGATAAATACCTTGGGTATAGAGGAAGGAGATTTATTTACTTATCTCAGAGCATGTGCTAGAGGGGCAGGGTATCTTTGGGAGACTTCTCCAAAAACAAAGGAGCTAGTGGGTGCCATCTCCCTTCTCCACTCCACAGCCTAGGTACATGGACACCCGTGGGAACCAGTGCAGTGCAACACTCCACCTAGCTTGTAACAGTGTGCCCCACCCCACACTCTTCTGTGGACCCACACCCTCCATCCTGGCCTGGGCAGTTTTCCCAGGTAGGTGCAGGTCCGTTCCTACAGGGGACTGGCATGGACCTTGCTGGTTACCGCATGTCCCACCCACTAACAACACAGGGACCAAACCCTGCCTACAACAGGCAAAGACAACCATTGCAGACAACTACACTGAAGGCAAATGCCACAACAGTAGAGTGCACACAACACACATAGGCAGACACCCCTGAAGCTCTGGGTTCTGGTGAACAGGGAACATTGCACGGCAGGGCACTATAGGACCTTGTCTTCATAAGGCCACTACTTTCAAGAGCAGGAGATGTAGCTGACTTTTCTAACACATAGAAACAGACACAGAGTTAGAAAAATTAAGAAGACAGAAGAGTATGTCTGAAATGAAACAGAATAGAACCCAGAAATAAACCCTCAATTATATGGTCAATTAATTTTCAACAAAGCAGAAAAGACTAGCCAGTGGGAAAAAGACAGTTTCTTCAACGAATGGCACTGGGAAAAACAGGACAGCTACATGCAAAAGAATGACACTGGACCACTTCTTACACTGTATGCAAAATTAAACTCAAAGAGAATTGACCTAAACGTAGGACCCGAAACCATAAAAGTCCTAAAAGAGAGCAGTCAGTAATTTATTGACATTGGCATTGCAGCTTCTTTCAAGATATGTCTACTGAGGCAAAGGAAAACAAAATCAAAGTAAACTATTGGGAATAGATCAAAATATAAAGCTTTTACACAGCAAAGGAAACAATCAACAAAACAAAAAGACAACCTACTGAATGGGAGGAGATATTTGCAATAATATCCAAAATATATAAAGAACTCATGCAACTCAACACCAAAAAATCAAATATCCAATTAAAAAGTGAACAGACATTCTCTAAAGAAGAAGCCAGATGGCCAACAGACACATAAAAAGATGCTCAACATCACTTATCATCAGGGAAATGCAAACCAAATCTACAATGAGATCACCTCATACCTGTCAGCAAAGCTAAAATCAAAAATACAAGAAACAACAAGTATTGGCAAGGATGTGGAGAAAAAGGAACCCTCATCCACTGTTGGTGGGAATGCAAACTAGTGTAGCCACTGTGGAAACAGTATGAAGGTTCCTTTAAAAATTAAAAATAGAATTACATATGATCCTGTAGTCATACTCCTGGGTATTTACCCAGAGTATGAAAACACTCACTTGAAAAGATACATGCTGTTTTTTGCGGCATTGTTTACAGTAGCAAAGACATGGAAGCAACCCAAGTGCCCACTGATAGATGGAAGAAAACAGGGGACGTATATACAATGGAATACCTCGGCCAAGGAAAGAATGAAATCTTGCTTTTTGCAACAACATGTATAGATCTAGAGAGTATAATGCCAAGTAAAATAAGTCAGAGAAAGACAAATACCATATGGTTTCATTCATTTGTGCAGTTTAGTTAAGAAAACAAGCAAATTTAAAAAGAGACAAAAAACAGACTTAACTCTAGAGAACACACTGATGGTCACCAGAGGGCAGGTGAGTGGGGGGGATGGAGGAAAGAGGAGATGGGGAGTAAGAGTATGTTTACTGTGATGAGCAGTGAGTAGTAGATAGGAGTGTTGAATCACTATATTGTAGACCTGAAACTAATATAACACCACATATTAATTATACGGGAATTTAAAAAAATTTTTTAATTTTTTAAAGATTTTATTTATTTATTCATGGCAGAGAGAGAGAGAGAGAGAAGTAGGCTCCATGCAGGGAACCCAACGTGGGACTCGATCCCGGGTCTCCAGGATCACACCCCAGGCTGAAGGTGGCGCTAAACCGCTGAGCCACCGGGGCTGCCCTAAAAAAAATGTTTTAAGGATGCTCTCATGAACTAAGAGTATATTACTTCCTCATGGGCCCCTCATCAGCAAAAAACAAACTCAGCAACTGGAGCTGCATTAATGGAGCACTCATGTTGGCTGAGCCCGTGTGCTGGGTATGATGGGTGATTTATATTCCTTAGTTTTCTGAATTTTTACAATAAATTATTTTTTAAGATTTTATTTATATATTTATTCATTAGAGACACAGGGGTGGGGGGCTAGAGACACAGGCAGAGGGAGAAGCAGGCTCCATGCAGGGAGCCCGACGTGGGACTTGATCCTGGGTCTCCAGTATCAGGCCCTGGGCTGAAGGCAGCGCTAAACCGCTGAGCCACCCGGGCTGCCCATAAATTACTTTTTTAGGGATCCCTGGGTGGCGCAGCGGTTTGGCGCCTGCCTTTGGCCCAGGGCGCGATCCTGGAGACCCGGGATCGAATCCCACGTCAGGCTCCCGGTGCATGGAGCCTGCTTCTCCCTCTGCCTGTGTCTCTGCCTCTCTCTCTCTCTCTCTCTCTCTCTCTCTCTCTCTGTGACTATCATAAATAAATAAAAAAAAATTTTAAAAAATTACTTTTTTAATGTGGAAAATACTTTTGTTAAGCTATATCTAAATGAGCTTTCCAAAAAGGTTGTTCTATAAGAGTAACCTTGGCACATGTGTTTTTTTCCTCAGCGGTCACCTTTGTGCCAGTGTCCAAGGTGAATGGGCAGGTGGAAGTCGAGGACATCCTGGCAGCTGTCCGCCCAGCCACCTGCCTTGTGACTATTATGCTGGCCAATAACGAGACTGGCGTCATCATGGTGAGTTATTTATCCTTTTAAGAAAATGTAATGAGGAATAAAGGTGGCCCAGGCCCTACTTGATATTCTCATGTGTCTCACCTGGGACCTCTTCTTTTTCTTCATCATCTTCTTCCTCCTCTTCCTCCTCTTCTTCTTCTTCCTCCTCTTCCTCTCCTTTCCCTGTCCTCATTAATGACTCCTTATTTCTTTCATTCAGTTTTCATGAAATCAAAGCAGCATACTCAACTGTTTATTTTTCCCTACTGCAGCCCATCTCTGAAATCAGTCAGCGAATTAAAGCCCTGAACCAGAAGCGTGCTGCTTCTGGGCTGCCGGTCATTCTGCTGCACACAGACGCTGCGCAGGCCCTGGGGAAACAGCGCGTGGATGTGGAGGACCTGGGCGTGGACTTCCTGACCATCGTGGGGCACAAGGTGTGCACATAGAGCCCTCCTTCCTTCCGGGAGCTCAAGGCTCCCATAGAGCAGAGCCCATCCATTGGTCATCGATTTGTTGTCCAGTAGGGCAACTTGAAGAAGGGGTGGCCAGGCAGGGTCGTGTGGGGGCATGGAGGCCTCAGGTGAGACCTAAGGCAGTGGCTTCAGCCAGATACTGCATGTCCTCCGCCGTGGGCAGAGAGTGCCTGCAGACCCCTTGTCAGCCCTCTTGTAACCCCCTCACCCAAGAATGGAAGATGTGAGATTCAAGATGTTGCTTTCTCTAACTTGATTTAAAGTACAGCTCCTGAATGCAAAGGTTTGGTTTTAGCAGCTTTCTCTTAAAGGTGGAAGAGAGGAAACATTAGTAGTGAAGACCCTTCTGAGACTTGACTCCCTTCTGGCAGCTGATTAGAACATGAAACATTTTTAGGCCTCTGTTTTGAAGCATGGTGCTCAGCTAGTTTCCAAAGGAGTATGTGTGCTGACCTGACACTGTGGCACTTAATGGTTTTAGCTAAATGTCAGTTTGAAAACCTGGAGTCAAACCCAGGAAAAACCCTTGGCAATCTCTAGCGCCAGCCCCTCTTCTTTTACAAATCCTGTTCTGCGATGTGCAGTCAAGCTTTGGTGCCACTGGGCTGGGGACAAGAGTACAGGCTCTGCCCTGCACCCCCAGGCTTCTGTGACTCAGATGTGTCCGGAGTGGTGACAGCACAGCTGTGGGGCCCTGACAGTACAGAGTATTTCTCTGTGTGCTCTAAGCACTTAACATGCTGACAGAGTAGGAACTCAGGCTCTTTTAAATAAATGATGGACTTTTTGTTTCAGTTCTATGGTCCCAGGATTGGAGCACTTTACATCCGAGGGCTTGGTGAACTTACCCCCCTGTACCCTATGCTGTTTGGAGGTGGACAAGAACGGAATTTCAGGCCAGGGTAAGGTAGAAGGTTAATGAAGTTTCTGACCTACTGGCCTCTTGTTGGTCTGTAGAGCAGTAACTTTTCTTTGTTTCTTGGGAGAATTTTAATAGCACATTCTGCATCACTACTGAGTCAGAATTCGCTCTACTGATGGATTCTGCAGATTCATAGATCTTCAGTCTCTATGGAGATGATTCCAAGCTGGAGCCTTCCTGGATGAGATGTGCTGCCATTCTCATGATTGTGGGATACGCAGGGTTGCACAGAAGCACCTGGCTTTCTTTCTGGTAGTTCCTGTGTCCCTGTGATATACAGTGGTACTTTAACCAGGGAATGAGGTGATATCAAGATCACACCTTTTATTAGAAATTCTAACAAGAGGGAGAAACAGGAACAACATGGTAGTGGGTTCCCTGGCTTTTCCTTTACCTCATTTATGCCTGACTTAGAGCTGATGAAGCCTGCAACTCAGAAACACCAATGAGGACAGAAAAAAATGTCCAACCAAAGCCAACTCTCTGCAGACAGTGGGCCAAAAATAGGACAGCCTAGCAAGACAGAGAACTTTTAGTTCAGCTTTTACTCCAGCCAATCACCACATGGTAAAATGTTGCCATCCCAACCCTTGCCAGCAAAAGGAGAGTAGAGAGCCCAGACTTCCACCTGCACAGCCTGTAACAAGATATCCCCATACCCACACCAGGTGTGTCAGAAAGGGCCTAGTAGGGATCGAGGACCTCCATCTCGGCCAGCCAGTAACAAGGAACCCTTACAGTGGTGTCAATGGAGACCACTTGAGCTTCCACATACACCTTTACTGAGAAGGTGTGTCCTCCCCTTGGGTGTCCACACAGGCTGAGTAGGGAACCTAGATTCCTACCTCCACCTGGCAGCAACAAGCTGGCATACTCCTTCCCCTGCTAGAACAGTGTCAAAACAAGCCAGCTAAAACAGAAAGGTTAAGTAACATCCAGACTCTCATAACATAATATGAAAATGTCCAGGTTTCAATTGAAAAGCACTCATCAAGAACCAAGAGGATCTTAAACTGAATAAAAAGAGACAATAGATTCCAGCACTGACAGATGACAAAAATGTCAGAATTATTTGACAAAGATTGTAAGGCAGACACAAGAAAAATGCTTCAATTATGAACATACCTGAAACAAATGAAAGTGTCAGCAAAGACAAAGAAGATAGAAAGAAGAACTAAGTGGAAATTTTAGAACTAAAAACTGCAGCAACTCAGTGGATGGGCTCAGCAGCAGAATAAAGGCAACAGAGGAAAGAATCCGTGAACAGAAAGAGAACAATAGAATTACCTAATCTAAACAACAGGCAAGAATTAGACTGGGCAGAAAATTGAACCACACCTCAGGGACCTTGTTTGACCATAACAGAAGATCTAACAATCATTTCATTGACATCTCAGGAAGAGAGGAGAAAGGGTGAGATGAAAAAGAACTTGAAGAAATAATGGCTGAAAATTTCCCAAATTTGGCAAGAAACATGAACCTACAGTTTTAAGAACCTGAACAAACCCCAAGCAGGATAAACCAAAAGAAATCCATGGAGGCCAGAAGGAAGTGATGCAATATTTTGCAAGCATTGAAAGTACTGTCAAGCCAGAATCCTATATACAGCAGAAAGAGCCTTCAGGAATAAAGAGGAAATGAAAACATTCTTGAATAAAGGAAAACTTAACAGAATTTGTCACCAGAAGACCAATGCTAAAAATGACTAAAGGAAGTTCTTTAAAGAGAAAAGCAACAGTAAAAAAAGGAAACCTGAAACATCAGAAGAAACAAAGCAAAGTATGGGTAAATAAAATAGGCTTTTCTCTTGAGTTTCTAAATTGTGTTTGATGGCTTAAGCTAAACATTATAGCACTGATGTGGTTCAAAATACATGTGGAAGAAAATGTTAAGATAATTATAAATAAGGGAGGGCTAGGGCAGCCCCGGTGGCACAGCGGTTTGGCACCGCCTATAGCCCAGGGTGTGATCCTGGAGACCTGGGATCGAGTCCCGCATCGGGCTCCCTGCGTGGAGCCTGCTTCTCCCTCTGCCTGTGTCTCTGCCTCTCTCTCTCTCTCTCTCTCTCTCTCTCTCCAAATAAATAAATAAAATCTTAAAAAAAAAAATAAGAGAGGGCTAAAAGGATGTAAATGGAGATAAGGTTTCTGTTCCCTTGAACTTCTGAAAATGGTCAAATAGCCCACAGAGAGGTAGGGAAAAGAAAACAGAGAAATTAAAAAAAAAAAACAGAACAAACCAAAAAAAATTTTAATGGCAGACCTATGCCCAATATTAGTTACACTAAGTATAAATGGTCTAAATACAGCAGTTAAAAGAGATTGGCAGAGTGAATTTTTTAAAAAATTGACCCAACCAAGATGCTTGGATCACTCAATTGATTAAGTGTCTAATTCGTGGTTTCAGATCAGATCATGCTCTCATGAGTTGTGAAACTGAGTCCCGCAATAGGCTCCACTCTCAGCAGGGAGTCTGCTTAAGATTCTCTCCCTCTGCCCTTTCTTTCACTTGTACTCATGCATGTGTGCTCTATCTAAAATAAACAAATCTTAAGGGAAAAAAAACCTGACCCAACTACAGTTGACCCTTGAATAACATAAGGGTTAGTGGAGCCAACCCCCTGCACAGTTGAAAATCTTGTAACTTGTAACTCCCCTAAAACTTAAATGCTAATAGCCCACTGTTGACTGGAAGCCTTACTGATAACATAAGTTGTCAGTTAATGCATATTTTGTATGTTGTATTATTATATGCTATATCCTCACAATAAAGTGTGCTGGCAAAAAGAAAATGTTAAGACAATTATAAGAAGAAAAAAATACATTTATAGTACTGTAAAAAATCTTCATGATTTTTCATGATTTTCATGAATCCATGCAGTTCAAATCTATGTTCAAGGGTCAACTATATGGGCTAATTGATCTCGAATATATTGATAAAGGGAGCTTGAAAGTTAAGAATGGAAAAGTATGTATCATGTGAACATTAGTCAAAGAAAAGAGAAAGGAGACTCCAAATAGAGAAAATTACCAGAGACATGGGGACATTATATAATGATGTAAGTCCACCAAGAAGTCCTAGCAATCCTAATGTCAGTGCACTACACAACATGCTGCGAACTATGTGAGGCCAAAACATATTGAACCAAAAAGAGAAACAGACAAATCCATAATTAAAGATAGAGACTTCAGTACCCTTCCCTCAACAATGGATGCAACTAAACAAAAATCAGCCAGAATATAGAAGAACTCAATAACAACCAACAGGACATAATCGAAGTGTTAGAACATTTCACCCAACAACAACAAAACACGTATTCTTTACAAGTGCTACAGAATATATACCAAGATAGACCATGTCCTGTGTCATTAAACAAACCTCAATACATTTGGAGAACTGAAATCATACAGAGTGTTTTCTCATCACAGTGGAATCAAACAAATCAATAACTGGAAGGTAATTGGAAAATCTCCAAACACTTAGAAACATGCACACACTTCTGCATAAACCATGGGTCAGACAGGAAGGCTCAAAAGAATTAAATACATAAAGATGAATGAAAATGAAAATACAACTTTCCAATATTTCTGAGACAGCTAAAGCACAGCTGAGAGGGAAATTTATAGCACTGAATGCATATGTTAATAAAGATGATGACTCTCTGGACACCTAAGTGGCTCAGTGGGTTAGGCATATAACTCTTGATTTTGGCCCAGGTCATGATCTTAGGGTCATGAGATCAAGATCCACATCGGGTTCCGTGCTCATTGGGGAGTCTGCTTGAGATTCTCTCTCCCTCTCTTTCTCTCTCCCTCCCTCTCTCCACCCCTCCCCTGCTCACTCTTTCCAAATAAATAAATCTTTAAAAGAAGGATGATGACTCTGAAGTCAATAAGCTTCTACTTGTAGAACTTAGAAAAAGTAGAGCAAAATAAACCCAAAGCAAACATAAGGAGATACTAAAGATAAGAACATAAATTAGTGAAATTGAGGGGCACCCAGGTGACTCAGTGGTTGAGCGTCTGCCTTTGGCTTGGGTGTGATCCCAGGGTCCTGGGATTGAGTCCCACATCGGGCTCCCTGCAGGGAGCCTGCTTCTCCCTTTGCCTTTGCCTCTGCCCCTCTCTCTGTGTCTCTCATGAATAAATAAGTAAGTAAATAAATAAATAAATAAATAAATAAATAAATAAATAAAATCTTTTAAAAAATGAATTAGTGGGCGGCCCGGGTGGCTCAGTGGTTTAGCGCCTGCCTTCATCCCAGGGCATGACCCTGGAGACCCCGGATTGAGTCCCACGTTGGGCTCCCTGCATGGAGCCTGCTTCTCCCTCTGCCTCTCTGTCTCCTCTCTGTGTATTCTCATGAATAATAAATTTTTTTAAAAAATGAATTAGATTGAAAACAAAAATCATTTTTTAAAGATTTTATTTATTCATGAGAGATAGATAGAGCAGAGGGAGAAGCAGACTCCATGCAGGGACCCTGACCTGGGACTTGATCCCAGAACTCCAGGATCACGCCCTGGGCCGAAGGCAGGTGCTAAACCGCTGAGCCACCTGGAATCCCCCCAAAATCATTTTTTAAAAGATTTTATTTGTTTTTAGGGGGAGAGAGAAAGAAAGCAGAAAGAGGGGCAGAGGGAGAGGGAGGGAGGGAATCTTTGCTTAGTGCAGAGCCCATTGAAAGGCTTGATTCCAGACTCTGAGATCATGACGCGAGCTGAAATCAAAAGTTGGGTGCTTAACCAATTGATCACCCAGGTGCCCTGAAAAAATAAAAATAACTTTTTAAAAATAATTGAAACAAAGAAATAGCCTTTTAAAAGTATTGATAAAACTGACAAATCTCTCACTATATTATATACCTGAAACTAATACAACACTGTATGTTAAGTATGCTGGAATTAAAAGAAAAGCTTGATTTAAAAAAATACCCCAAGAAACCTGTAGTAAGACTGACAAAGGAGAAAAGGAAAGAAGAAACAAATTGCCAATATCAAGAATGACTGCAGACGGGATGAACACTGGGTGTTATGCTATATGTTGGCAAATTGAACTCCAATAAAAAAAAAAAATACAAAAAAAAAAAAAAGACCCTTGCAGAACCTACAGACATCAAAAGGATAATTAGAAATGCTATGAACAACCTTACACACATGAATTTGAAAATTCAGGTGAAGTGGACTATTTCATCAAAAAACAAAGTACTATAACTTACCTAATATGAGATTAGGTCATTTAGATAACTTTAACACTATTAGGAAAAGTAAATTAGTTTTATCATTTTAAGACTCCCCCAAAAGAAATCTCCAAGCCCAGATAGTTTCACAAGAGACTTCTACCAAAGATTTAAAGAATTAACACTATTTCTATGCAGTCTCTCCTAGAAAAATAGGAGGGAATGCTTCCCCAATTCATTTTATGAATTTATACCAAAACCAGAAAGATGGTACAAAAAAATAAAACTATGGACTAAATATCTCTCATGAATTTAGATGCAGAAATCTTTAATATTAGCAAAAGGAATTCAGCAACACATAAAAATAATATCTACACCATGATGAAGTGGGAGTTTGTTCCAGGGATGCAAAATCAGTGTAATGTAGCATATTCAAGAAGAAAAATTGGGGTACCTGGATGGCTCAGTCAGTTGAGTGTTTGACTCTTGATCTCAGGGTTGTGAGGTCAGGCCCCATGCTGAGCTGCACACTGGGTATGGAACCTATTTTTTTTTAATTTTTTTTTTTAATTTTTATTTATTTATGATAGTCACAGAGAGAGAGAAAGAGAGGCAGAGACATAGGCAGAGGGAGAAGCAGGCTCCATGCACCAGGAGCCCGACGTGGGATTCGATCCCGGGTCTCCAGGATCGCGCCCTGGGCCAAAGGCAGGCGCCAAACCGCTGCGCCACCCCAGGGATCCCTGGAACCTATTTAAAAAGAAGAAAAAAATAACATAATTTAACATAGAAAAAGCATTTAATAGAATTCAATATTCATTCATTAAAAACTCTCACAATATGACTAGAGGAGAACTTCTTCAGCTTGAAAAGGGTATTTACCAAAAAAACTGACACCTAACATCACACTCAACAGCGAAGGCCTGAACGTTTTACTCCAGTGATCAGGGACAGGCTGGGGAGGTCCACTCTCACCTCTTTTCAACAGTGCTGTAAGTTCTAGTAGGCAAGAATAGGAAATGTAAAGAAAGGAGACAGAACTGTCCCTGTTTGTAGATTACATGATTGTCTCTAGAAAATCCCGAGGAATGTTAAGAAAGATCACTGATATATGAATTCAGCAAGAACACGGGTTATAATATAAACATACAAAAATTGTTTATATTCCTATATATTGGTAATGAATATATGAACAACAAAATTAATGCCATTTATAATCACTCAAATACTCAGAGGACTTATAACCTGAAAACTAATGTGGATAAAAGAAAGCAAAGTTCTAAATAAGTGGAGAGACATACTATGTTCATGGATCAGAGGACTCAGTATAGTAAAGAGGTCAGTTCTCCCCAAATTGATAAATAAACCCAATTTCTATTGAAAACTTAGCACACAAGGGCACCTGGGTGGCTTGGTCAGTTAAGCCTCTGCCTTCAACTCGGATTATAATCCTGGGGTCCTGGGATCAAACCGCACGTCAGGCTCCCTGCTTTCCCTGGAGCCTGCTTCTCCTTCTCATCTCTGCTCATACTCTCTCACTCTCTCTCAAATAAATAAATAAATAAATAAATAATATTTTTTTTAAAGAATTAAAAGCTTACCAAGTAGACCAGTGGAACAGAACAGATACAACCAGAAATATGCCCAAATGATTCTTGACAAAGATATAAAAAAGTACTTCAGTGGAGGAAAGATTCTTTTTCAACAGATGGTGCTGGAGCAATTAGACATCCTCACACAGAAGACAAACCTCAACCTAAGTCTCACCCTTGATAAAACGCAGGATACATGATGAACTTAAATGTGAAACATAAAGCAATAGAACTTTTATGGGGAAAAAAAAATGGGAAAACCTCTTCTGGCTCTCGCTTTGGCAAAGAGATCTTAGACTTGATACCAAAAGGGTCCATACAAGGGAACAGTGATAATTGAACTTCATCAAAATTTAAATCTTTCGCCCCACAAAAGAGGATATTAAGAGGATAAAATGACAAGCTGTGCAATAGAAGAATATATCCTCAAAGGATTAGTATCTAGAATATAATACATAAAGAACTTCCAAAATTCAACAGTCAACCTCCCAAACAATTCAAACAATGGGCAAAAGACATCACACCAAAGAGGATACACAGATAGCAAGTAAGCACATGAGTAGATACTGAACATCTTTAACTATTAGGGAAATGCTAATGAAAGCCACAATGAGGCATCACTCCACACCTACCAGAAGGGGTCACACAAAAACCAGGGACAACACTGAATGCTGTTGAAGATGCAGAGATGCTGCTTCACTCACAGATGGCCAGTCAGGGTGGAAATGGTACAACTGCTCTGGAAAACAGCTTGGCATTTTCTTTTAAAATTCAATACGCACACACCATACAACCTGGGAGTGGCACTCCCGGAACACATATCCCAGAGAAATGCAGACAGACGAAAATGCTCACAAAACCCCGTATGCAAGGGTGTCTAGCAGCTTTCTTTGCAATAGCTACAAACTGTAAGCAACCCAGATGTCCTATAACGAGTGGCTGGCTTAACAAGCTGTGGCACATTGTGCCATGGACACCACTCGGTAATGAAAAGCACTTAATGATACACGCAACAGCCGGGAAGGAATCTCCAAGAGAATTACGGTGAATGAAAAAAGCCAGTACCCCCAGAATTATAACTATGATTCCATTTACAGGACATTCTTGAAATGACAGAAATAGAGGTGGAGAAGAGACTAGCAGTTGCCAGCAGGCCAAGGAAAGGGTGGGGCCGAAGGGGAGCAGGTCTGGTTATGAAAGGCCAACAGGAGAGGCCTTCGTGGTGGTGGAAACGTTCTGTATCTTATCAGTATCCTGGCTGTGATCTTGTACCCTAGTGTCACTGGGGGGAAGCTGAGTAACCGGTACACAGAATGTCTCTGTTATTTCTTATAAGCACATATGAATCTACATGATCCTTTTATTTAAATTTTTTTATTTTTGAGTTTTATTTATTAGCATGAGCAGGGGGAGGGACAGAGGGAGAAGCTGGCTCCCTGTTGATGTGGGGCTTGATCCCAGGACCCTGGGATCAGGACCTGAGCCAAAGGCTTAACTGACTGAGCCACCCAAGCACCCCTAAATCTACATTATCTTTTTTGAAAAGTTTAAAAAAAAAAAAAAACGCCAAGAGGCATAACATCAGGTGCTTGGGGAGCCATAATAGTTCACTGTATGGACTGTGAGTTGGAAGCAGGGTTTGCGTGACTCCAGATGGAGGAGGCAGCAGACTGGATGCTAGGAGGGAGGGGTGGGTGGAGGCGGGACAGGCTCCAGCTTCCACATAGGGTCCCGGCTCTTCCACCTGGGCAGCCCCTCCAGGCACTCCCTGGTCACAGACCTTGAGAGGTGCCCTTGGTCGGGCCGTGCTGTCCGACAGCTGAGAGGTGTGAGCCCCATAGAGGAGGTGTCATTAGGATCTCACCGTGGTCGAAGAGCTCGGGTGAAGACAAGCTCAGACCTCCGGGTCCTCTACGCAGAGCTCCTTGCTCTTGCCTGACCACCCGCAGGTGTCAGAGCCAGTCTCTGTAGACAGAAGTGACCAATAAACTTGTCAAAGGCAGAGCTGCAGGATCACGTTACGTGTAATGCCCTGCGCTTCGTGTTCACTTATCTTGTTATCTTCGGGTCAGCAAGCAGCAGCCAGCTCCCGAGGTTTCAGAAAACTTCAACTAAAATTCAAAATTCAGAAAAGTATTCAGTGAGTGATTTGCTCTGTTTTTCCTGAAAATAGACTGAGGAGTTCTGTTTTCAGCTCGTTGGAGCTGAGCGAGAGCCACCGGTCTCCAGGGGGTCCTGCTGCCCCTTGCTTGCACGCACACAATCTCTAGTAGCAAAGGATTCGTCCCTCGAGACAGTTGAGAGGCTTCAGCTGAAGGGAACCCAGTTGAGCTGAGGTCTATGGGCCCCCACCTGGTTCGACAGTGGGGCCCTGAGGTCTGCCGTTGGAGGAGGGCTTTCTCCTGGGTAGGAAGAAGGTCCAGACACAATTGTCACTCTGGACACCCAGCGAGTACTGCCCAAGGCGGGCCGTGTCCCCCGTGACTGGGCGGAAGCTTCGCGGGGAGGGTTTGGGGGCCTCCAGCTGCCGTCGAGGCAAGCTCATGGCAAATGACTAGGAGAGAGGTGGGTGTGATTCTGGTTTTGTTTTTTTGTTTGTTTGTTTGTTTTTATTTTTTTTTTATTCTCTTTTTGTCTGAACTCCTGACTTTCACGGACAGGATTCTGTCCTGGGGCATCTGTTACTTGCTTTGCATGGAAATGGGATTGAATCCCTTGTGTCTTACAGGACGGAGAACACCCCGATGATTGCTGGCCTTGGGAAGGTAAGCCTTGGGAGCTCGGACAGAGCGAGCAGGTGCTTTGTCTCATGTGCTTCGGGATAACCGGAGTCTTCCTCCAGGGGAGTCTCTCCTCCCACAGGACCGCTGTGCGCCCAGCACTCCGACACCGGGTGTGGGTGTCAGGGCGGCGATTTCCACTCAGAACCGTTCCGTGACACCAGCTGGGTGTCCTGCAGTCTAACTCAATTCAGACCCTGCCTGCCTGGACACAGTGTCAGACCCCACAGGTCAGGGGCTCAGGCTCACAGGACTGCCCCACCCGGCCCCACTTCAGGCACCAGTCGGAAGTCCCAGTTGTCACCTGTGCTTCTGCTGGCCAGCTCTGCCTGCAGTTCCCATGACTCTGCCCCGGGTTCAGTGAGTTTGCCAGAACAGCTCACAGGACTTACAGAAACACTTGTCCCAATAGATTCCAGGCTTATTGTGAAAGGACATGATAAAGGAGAGATGACCATCGGGACTGGAAGAAATACGAAATACGTTGGGCAAGGTGTGGGGCGGGGCACTACCCTCCCAGTGCCCGCACATGTTCAGCAACCAGAAGCTCTCCAAACCCATGCTGTTGGGGGTTTTGTGGAGATTTGACCAATCACCAACTCCAGGTTTAGCCCCTCTCTCCTCTCTGGAGAAGGGGGAGGGCTGGGAAATTCCCAGCTTCTCATCATGCCTTCCAGTGCCCGCTCCATCCGGGAGCCCCCGCAGCGTCACCGCTTTAGAACAAGACACTGCTGTCTCCCAGGAAATTCCAAGGGCTCTAGGAACTCAGCGTCAGGAACCGAAGGCCAAATACCAGAACAAGAGGTGCTCCTGGTGGTCTTATCCCTGCGGCAGTTACGGGGGTTTCGGGAGCTCGGCGCTGGGCCCCGGGCGGAGACCTGTGTACTTCTGTCATCCTGCAGCCCATTCCCCCAGCGGCTTTACCGGGTGGCCAGGCCTCGGGGAGACCGTGTTCACGAGCCCAATAAATGGACTGATGTTAGAAGAAGCCTCCAATTGTGTCGTCATCCCCGAGGTGTACTTTCTGAGGTCTGTGGAGTGGCCTGCAGGTGCTTAGCGCTGAACGGGAAATGCTCTCGAAGCCTCTGCTAATGTGGGAAAGGCGGCGATGTCTGTACCTAGAGACCACCTGACAGGCCCACGGATAGCCTGGGCCGGGGCCTTCTCTCCAGCCCGAGCCCTGGCCGTCCCGCCTACAAGATGCAGCTTCCCAAAGCGATTTCTCATGACGGCAGCTCCCCGGCACGCTGGTACCTTGCCTGGCTTCTGTGACCTGCCACCACCGCCACTGCCTGGCCGCCCTCCATGCATGCACTCGCGCCCTTCACGCACTCAGCTTCCCGAGGCCCCTCCCCGGAGCAACGTCCCAGGCCATGGCCAGCTGGCCAGCGTCTGCCAGGCTTCCCGCCACCCCTTTCCCTGTGTGCTTCCTGAAGAGCACCTCCTGCCCATATCCTCTCCATTGGAATGTTCCAGCCTCCACAGGCCTGCACCCCCCCCCATTCCTGACACCCAGGTTCACCGATCCTCCCTCCTCTCCCCTGGATCCCGCAGGGGAGGCCCAGCCCCGTGGACCAGCACAGCCACTGCTGGCCCGCCCACCGGCCAGCTCCTTTCCCTTCCACCCCTGCCAGGCCTTCACCTCCTCGCTGCTGGCCGGCCTCCCGGCACCATCCCAGCCTCCTCCGCATAACTGCTCCCTGGTGGCACTCATCCCGGCCTGCGGCTCCACCAGCAGCCTGTGCTCAGGGCAGGTCCTGACCCTTCTTTTGAGGGGCCCAGGTGCTTGACATTCTGCTTGGGCCCACGTGTGCATCTCCTCCCTGGCTCCCCTCGCCCCTCACGGTGCCTCCCACCACCCAGGACCTCATTGGGAAATCTGGGAGGTGCCCACCTTGTCCTTGTCCCCTGTACCTGGCAAGCCACCAGCCAGTCCCATCTCTACAATATATGGAGGTCTGCATCTTGTGTGTCTCCGTGGCTGCAGACTCTGGGCCAGGACACCTGCCATGGTCCCTTCCATTCTCTGCACAGCATCCTGAATGACTATTGCACATGCAAATCAGGGCATCTCACCCCCTTCTCAAAACCTCCGTGTGTCTGCACTAACCCTGCCTGTCGGAGGCCCCAAGGCCCTGTCCCCCTGGGTCACCTCCTCCAGGCATTTGGCCCTAAGCACCTGGCTCTGCTCTGCCCCCTTCACCCTGTGTGCCCCTCGCCCTGGGGAGCGCCCTCCCTGCCTCCCTGCCTTCCTGCTCTGTGGACTGGCTGTGCCTCGGGCATCAGGAGTGCCCTATCTCCCAAGACCTGATAAAGTGAATTCCTGTTGAACAAGTGAGATAACTCTTCTCAAGCACTTACTGTGGCCCCAGGCACCTAGTGGTGCTCAGTGAATATCGTCTGTTCCCCATGTTCCAGGAAGAGAGCAGTTTGAAATCGGGCAGTCTCACCTCTACTCTTCATATTCTCCTTTGTTTTATCACCATTAAACGTGTTTTCTTGCATTGTGTCCCCAGGCCGCTGAGCTGGTGACCAAGAACTGTGAGGCTTACGAGGCCCATATGAGAGATGTTCGTGACTACCTGGAGGAGCGGCTGGAGGTGAGCCTGGGGTCTGCAATGGGGAGGTAAGGGGGGACCAGGGGGTGAGCGCGAGCGAGGTGGGGAGGAGAGCGATGAGCCTGGGGTCCACGGTGGGGCAGGAGATGGGGAGGTGAGGGGTGAGTGTGGAGTGGGGAGGGGGTGATGATCCTGGGGTCCACGGTGGGGCAGGAGATGGGGAGGCGAGGGGTGAGTGTGGGGTGGGGAGGGGATGATGATCCTGGGGCCACAGTGGGGCAGGAGATGGGGAGGCGAGGGGTGAGTGTGGGGTGGGGAGGGGATGATGATCCTGGGGCCACAGTGGGGCAGGAGATGGGGAGGCGAGGGGGTGAGTGTGGGGTGGGGAGGGGGGTGGTGAGCCTGGGGTCTGGGTTGGGGATAGTAAGGAGGTGAGCATGGGCAAGGGGGCAGAATGGTGAGCCTGGGGTCTGGTCCACAGTGGGGCAGGAGAAGGGGGGGCGGTAAGCCTGGAATGATCCCTGGTGGCAGGGCCGGTGGTGGGGGGAGACATGAGGAGGTGAGCCTGGGGTCTGGGTCTGGGGACAAGGAGGTGGGCTTGGGATGGGGGGCGGAGTGGTGAACCTGGGGTCCATGGGGGTGAGGGTGGGGTCTGTCCCCTTCTTCCTCGATTGAGCTGAGGGTGGGGGTTGGCACCCCCCCAGGCAGCAGGCCTGGGGTTGATTGACTGGTGGTCCGGGGACTCTGGGGATGCTCAGGGGAGAGGCTAGAATCCTGAGTCCGGGGACCTCCCCACCGCCATGGGCTCGAGACCGAGTGGTGATCGTCAGGGACAGGATGGAAATGCAGCAGAGCTAGTGGCTTGATGGCTGTACTGAAGAGAGTTATGCGTATTCGGAAGTTTTTCTCCTAATTACCTTTGCTTTCCAGTCAGTCCCCGTAATGACTAATGTAGATGCTCATTGACGAACTAATTATTCTATGTGTTGAGGTTGAGATTTGGGCTCGAGGTCAAACAGCTGGGGGAGTGCGGTGTGCTCCGAATTCCTCATTGACTTTTCAGGCTGAATTTGATAAGCAGAGAATCCATCTGAACAGCCGATTTCCAGGGACCGAGCGACTCCCCAACACATGCAACTTTTCCATCCGGGGACCCCAGCTCCAAGGTGACGAGGGTCTCCCGGCCTGCGTGTGGGGCGGTGGGCACCGGCGGGGCGGCTGTCCCCAGGAGGCTGTGGCCGCCTGTTGCGTGGTGTGCGGGGCGCATGGGGCATCCCCAGCCGCCGTGAGCACCAGGCGTGGCGCCTGCCCAGAGCTGATGGGGAAGGAGAGGAAACAGCAGACTTGAGGCCAGCTCGTAGCTCGGCCGTCTCCGTCAGCAGGTTTGACGTGATGATGTATGGGGAGCGGGAGAGGAGAGGCGGTCAGCGTCAAGGTCTGGCTCAGGTGGGGGCACTCGAGTTCCTGCGGTAACTGCCTCCCGGCTGCACACCGTCCGATTAGCGGGATCCAGAAAGTAAAACGTGGCTCCCCCACGGCCCTGGGGCTGAGTCCAGGGGGGAGCCGGCCGTGTTTCACGGAGAGGAGATTCCGTGTCCCCCGAGTGTGGGGTTGGCGCGGCCGCAGAGAGGCGGTGGCTCCCTGGATGTATTCAGTGAGACCCGTGTTCATATAAATGAGGCAGGTTCTTCTCCCAGTGAAGTCAGCGAGCGGGTTTGTTCCTTTCATCTCCGGGCTTGGGACAGAAGAGCGAGGTGCCCTCCCACTTAGTACGGGCAGCTCCCGTTGCCCCCACCTCTAGAAAACACAGATGTAAGCTGAAGTGTTACCCGGACCACAGATGACGCAGTAAGGCAGCTGCTGGGCGTCCTGAGCGTCTTCCTAGGCAGGTGACCGGAAATGGCACGTTCGAGGCCAGTTTTATGAGCCAGAATCATACCTAGGAGGGACCATCTTCTCTGGATCCTGTTGCTCTGTCACTGAGATGAGAGAGGCCTCTGCCCTGGAGACACCCCCCCCCCCCCGCAGGTGGCACAGGGGACAGAGCCTCAGAACCTGCAGCAGGGGAAGAGGAGAGGTGGAGGCGGGGCCCTGCGTGCACTCTCCACCTCACACCCCTGCGGTGTCTCCCCAGGCCGCCTGGTGCTAGCACAGTGCAGGACGCTGCTGGCCAGTGTGGGGGCCGCGTGCCACTCGGACCATGCAGATCGGTGAGTGCTCCACGCGGGGTCCGGGGTGCATCCAGCAGGCAGCCCGGCCTGGGCTTCCAGAGCTAGCCAACAGGGACGCAAGAAGCGACCAGACAGACTTGCAGGCCCTAGGGGAGAAGGGGAAGCCCCAGCCAAAGGAGGCGTGGGAGGGAGGGGAGGGGAGGGGCAGGGCGGGCTGCAGGAGCTCCCTCTGTCCTCAGAGAGTGAGAGGCTTCCGCAGGGTTGTGACAGGCCAGGCTGGTTCCTGGTGGCCCCCAGGGATTACAGGCCAGGCCCCCATGGCCGAGGCAGGAGGGGAGGGTGTGGGGCCCGGGCATCCCTGGCAGTGGCCCGACCCTGGTGGAGGAGGAGCAAGGGTTCACTGTCCCCCTGCTGTGAGCGGGGGTCCTGCAGGGGTGGGTGCAGTGCCGGATAAGGCAGCCCGGGCCCCAGAGAGGGCAGAGCTGTGGTCACGGCAGGCTGTCAGGGTCTGTGGCTGGCGCCGCGGTACCCCGAGGGCTGAGGCTGGGTGGGGATGGCAGGGCCTCCTCGGGCCTCAGAGCTCCGCAGGCTGCCCGAGGGCGGGAGAGGCCAGGAGCAGGCATGTGGCACCAGAGTGGCCGTCAGGAGCCGTGAGGCTGGGACCAGGCTGGAGTGCAGGAGGGTACAGTGCCCCTGGCCGCCGCTCACGGAGGGCTGAGTGGCCCGTTTCCCAGACGGGGAAGCCCAGGCACGTGCGGTCTGGAGTCTTAACAGCCACAAGATGAGGGAGAGGGGAGGAGGGGCTGAGGAGGGGACAGGTGTCCAGTGTGGCCCTGTTGGCGGTGGGGCGGGGGCTGTGGAGGCAGACACTCAGGGCTCTCGTGGGAGGCGGGGGCGCCCCTCTGGGATAGGAAGTGAGGCCACGCACTGGGGGAGGGCCAGGGCCCAGGAGCTGCGGCCATGTCACTCTCGCCTGCCCTGCAGGGGCCTCTGGCACAGACCCTCGGGAACCAGAGGTGGTGACAGTCCTGCCCCGCCCAGTCCTGGGCTCCGGAGGGCGTTTATCGGGACGGCTGTTAGGAGCTCTGTCGTGACAGTGACCTCTGCTGTGCTGTTCCCCCCACCCCGGGCCTGTGTTGGGGGTGAGGGCGCCTGAGCAGTGAGCTCCCGGGGGAGGGCAGGGCTCTCGAGCTGCCCCGCGGTGGCTTCACAGAGCCTGGTGTGTGCGGAGCCCGGCGCCCGGCGCAGGTGCTGTGGCAAACACATAAGTGCCAGGTGCGCCTCCACCTCCCGTGTGAGCTGTGCACCTCCTCCTCCTGCTCACTCCGTGTGACAGGCCTCGGCCTCGCCGACACGGTCCCGGCGGTCTTGCCAGGCCCTCGTGGAGCCGGGGCAGGGGCCGTGCCAGAGTCGGAGCTGACACGGGGGCCCCTGCGGACGGTGGCCCAGGGGTGTTTGGCAGAGACGGGAGCTGGAGGGTCTCTGGAGCCCCAGCTGGGGAGCTGGCCCGGAGCAGAGGGGGCGGGGTCCCTTCCCCACCCCTGGGGAGCTCGAGGGCCTTCCCTGGCCGGCAGCTGAGCGGCCCCCTCGCCCCTGCAGGCCGTCCCCGGTGCTGCTGAGCTGTGGCATCCCCTTCGACGTGGCCCGGAACGCACTCCGGCTCAGCGTGGGCCGCAGCACCACCAGGGCCGACGTGGACGTCGTCGTGCGGGACCTGAAGCAGGCCGTGGCGCGGCTGGAGGGCCAGGCCTAGCGCCAAGGGCGCCTCACGAAGGCCTTCCGAGGGCTGCACCAGGAGGGCTCTCTTCTTGAGTTGCCCGAGTCTCGGTTTTGTCCCCGCAAGTGCTTAGAGGGCCGGGTGGGGGGCGGTCACCGCTGCCCATGGCGCAGGTTGGAGTGCCGAGTCAGTGCCCCCCTGGGAAGTGGGGTGACCTGCTGTGCGTGCCACCCTCCCGGAAGGTGACGTTTTTATCCTGAAGACAAAATGCTACTATTGACAAACGACTGTCAGCTGCTGCCATGGAAATAGGAAACCTGACTTTGCTGCCACCGTGGCCCCCTGCCTGCCGGCGCCTCCGCCGGCCGCCTGCCCGCCTGCCCGTGTGCTGTGCGCTCTTGCTCCCCCCGCTTCTCAAGCCCTTCCTCGGCCAGGGGCCACCGAGGTCACGAGGTCAGGCCCCGCTCCCTGCTCCGGCCCCCCTCCCAGGGCCGTCCTCGCTCAGCCTGTCCCGGCCACCCAGAGCCACCAGGCCCCGCCCGCCTTTTCCTTTTGGTCACTGACTCAGGGCTCCGGCTCGGCCGGGGAGTCACGGGCGGCTGGGCACAGGTGACACCGGGTCGTCCCTGCGGCAGGAGATCACCTCACCCCTGACCCCGCTGGCGTCACAATGTCCACAGACGGATTCCTCCGTCTTCACGAGTGCTCTGTGGCGTTCTGACCCACCTCGGAGGGAGGCACGTAACATAGGAATGATTTCTTAACTGCCGGACATTTTTCATGTGTGGTTTTAAGTGCAAAGAACTACATGGTGATGTTGAGGAAATGATCGTCAGAAACGAAATGAACTAATAAAATATTCCAGGGCTGGTCTTAGACGTTTTATGGTTTCTCTAGCGGATGCTTCTCTGGGGGTCACCGATGTGCCTGGGCCGGCCGCGGAGATGGCGTCGGAGGGGTGTGTAGTGACCCCAATTTAATCGCTGTGCGATTAGGCTTCACCTTAAGAAATTCAGCCTAAGACCGTGTCTCTGGGACTCCCTAGACAGTGGGTCCATGAAGGCGGCATCCTGCTGCTTCCAGGCAGAGGCCATGCCGATCCCGGGGTGCCCCGCCCTACTGAAAAGAACAGTCTGGGGAAAGATGTGGGGCAGCCTTGAGGACCTGGAGACCCTCACTGGCCTCAGAGGCCTTCCGTCCACCACTCGGGCCCCGAGCCCATGGCTGGCTCGGCCGAGCGGCTGCCGCCCAGAGGCTTACGGAGCCTCCAAGGCCTGGGCCAGCTGAGGGCCAGGACCCAGCATAGGTCTCCAGGAGGCAGGTGGGCCCTGGGCTCCCGGGGTGGAGGCCTAGCCATAGCTCCGGCCCGCGTGGTGGTCAGTTCCCCCAGGAGGGCCTCCCCTGAGTCTCGGGGGACCTCCCCCTGGGGCCAGCACAGCCTCGGGGCTCCTGCCTCGACAAGAGGAAGCAGATGGAAGGATGCTGGTAACCGTAACACCCACCAGATGCGGGCAGTCCCTCTTGGGATGAGACAGCACGTCCCTTGGTGCTTGCTCCGAAGCAGGCCGAGGCGCGGTCCAGCCACGGGCAGACCTGCCAGCCAGTGCCCAGCCCTGACCCGAACCCAGCGCAGACCCTCCCCCGGGCCCAGGCCTTCTGCCACCGCAGCTCTGGGCCCGGCAGGAGTGGCTGGGGTAGGACTTCGAGGCCCAGTCCCCGGGGCCCGCCCCGTCCCCCCCCTGCCGCCTCCCATCTGCCCTGAGCGCCGCTTATCGGGTAACCGGAGCCGGGAGGCGCGTCCACGCCTGAAACAGGAAGCCCAGGCCCGTGCGTGCGCCACGACAGCCACCGGGCAGCGGGGCTGGAGGATGGAGGGGCAGCGGGCACTCACGGCCGCCCGGGCCGGGGACCTGGCCACCCTGAAGCAGCTGCTGGATGCGGGTGCCCTGGGCCCAGGCATCGTCGACTCCCTGGGGGCGGGCCTGGTGCACCACGCCACCCGGGCCGGCCACCTGGCCTGCGTCAAGTTCCTGGTGCGGCAGGCCCGGCTGCCCGGCAACCAGCGAGCCCACAACGGGGCCACCCCGGCGCACGACGCCGCTGCCACCGGCGGGCTGGCCGAGCTGTGCTGGCTGGTGCGAGACGGGGGCTGCGGGCTGCAGGTGAGCGGGGGCGGCGGGGGCATGGACCATATGGGGCCCTCACCGACGAGAGAGCGGGAGCTGTGAGCCGGGTAATCGGGGCCCCTTGGGCCCCTGGGGCGCCGCAGCCCTGGGCTGTGTTTCGGGGACGCGCTCTGCAAACCCCCGCGGCACAGGTGGTGTCTGTGCCCCGCGCCTGCCTCGCCCCGAGCAGCACAAAGCCCATGAAAGCCAAGGCCACCCCCTAAGCCACCGCGTGTTCCTCTGTGCGTCACAGGCAGCCACATGCCCTCCCGCGCCCTCCCCCACGTCGGGGCGTCTGGCCTTGCCCGGGGAGGGGGGCGTGCCAGTGTGCCCATCAGGCCGGATCCCCGGGGCCTGTCTCCCAGGGGGCCTAGGACGGGGTCCGTAGAGAACCAAGTGGGCTGTGGGCACCTGCTCGTACGACCGGACGCCTTGGTGGGCGACAGCACGGCCCCGCGGGGGTGGCGGGGGGTGGAAGAAGGGCCTCCAGGGCCCAGTGACCACCTTGGCAGTGGCCTTTCTACCCTCCGAGAAGTCGCACCGGGTCCCAGACAGGGAGGACTCAATGGTCACAGCTCGGTGTGCAGCTGGCCCCATCGGCTCTCCCCACAGCCCGAGGGGCAGCCGGGGGGCAGGCAGGTAGGGGCGCAGCCGGGGTAGGAGGCAGAGGCCCCACGGCGGGGCCCAGGGCCTGCCGTGCGTGTGGGGGGCCAGTGGGAGCCGAGCACAGGCGAGGGCCAGGCCTGCCAGGAGGGAGGGCCCGGGTGCAGCAGGATCGGGGCTCTGGACCCAGAAGACCTGGACTTGTGTCCCACCACCTCTTCCCTCCAGCAGGCACCTGGCTCCTCTGCAAGGGGAAGAGCAGAGCTGTGGGGGCGGGGGTGGGGGCACAGGGCAGGCTGGGCGGGCGGCTCCGGGGGGGCGGGGGGCAGGGGGATGGGGGGGCGGCCCGCACAGGCTCACCGCCACCTGCCCCCGCAGGACCAAGACGACTCGGGCGTCTCCCCGCTGCACCTGGCCGCCCGCTTCGGGCACCCCCTGCTGGTGCAGTGGCTGCTTCGGGAGGGCCACGCAGCCGCCCTGGAGACGCTGGAGGGGGCCCTGCCGCTGCACCACGCGGCCGTCAGCGGGGACCTGACCTGCCTGAAGCTCCTGGCCGCCGCCCACGGCAGGTGAGGGGCTGTGGAGCCGCCTGTCTGCGTGGGAGCACTGGGCGTGGGGTGGTGGGGCAGAGGGGGTGGGCTGGTGGCCTGCGAGGTGGGCCCTGCAGGGGCCTCGCGGGGGGGGGGCAGGGCGTGGGCAGAGGGCTGATGAGACCCAGCAGGGCGGGGGACGCACATACCAGGTGCCATCATCTAGCTGCGCCCAGGGGCGGCGATGAGAGCCGGGAAGCTCCCTGTGACTGGGCAGGACCCCAGTTCCCCTGGCTGGGAAGCTGGGCACCCCCAAGTGCCCTGAAAGGAGCAGAGGCCCCCATCAGGTCACCCGGATTGTCCTGCCGCCTCGTGCCCTCCCTGCACTGTCGGGGGGCCCCGTGCCACTGCCCAGAGTGGGTGGAGGGGCTCACAGGGAGTGGCAGCGTCCGGATGGGCCCGGCTGGGCGGGGGCAGCCTCTCCTCCGGTCCTGAGCCTGCACAAAGGGTGCCGAGTGCACAGTGACGGGCCTTCTAGGGAGCCTGCCTGGGGCCTCCCCACAGCCTGTCCCCAGGGCTGCTCTCCTGGCCAGGTGTGGGCCTAGTGTCCACCCCACGCCGGACCTGGCCTTTCCCCCGAGCCCCCTTTCCTCCAGCCGTGCCTGCCTCTTCTCCCCCGGGGGGCCTCTTGCCTGGCGGGAAGCCTGGCTCTCGGGCTGCCCCACACTTGCTGCCCGACAAGGCCAGTTCTGTCCCTGGTCCTCCCGTCCCCCCTTGGTGAAAGGCCTGGCCCCAGATTCCCGGGGGCGCTACAGTTTTTACAGTAGTTTCCACCATTTAAAACCCGTAGACTTCACATCAGAATGCCCCGTGTGCACGTGATGTGTCCTGCCCTAGCGCCCACAGGCCCTGGCAGTGACCACGGCAGCCAGAGGTGACGTCTGCGCCACCCAGGGATGGGATCAGCCTTGGGTAGGGGACAGTCTCTCCCTGCAGCATTTCACCCAGCAGGGCGGGGGACACGCAGGCCAGGAGCGCACCCGGCCCTGCGGCAGCTCAGAGGCAGAGCAGGTGGGCAAATCCCATGACCTCAGTCCGTCCACGCCAGGGCCTGGAATGCAGATGCCCAGCCTGGGCGCTCAGGGCTAGCGTCCTGCTCGCGGTGCCCCCGTATGCAGAGCAGGCCTGGGCTCTGGAGGTTCGATGACCCGCCTGCCGCAAGCCCCGCTGGGCTGTTCACCTCCTAGCAAGCCCCAGCTCCGTGAATTGCCGAAGGGCTTGATGAGCGTGTGCAGAGCTGGAATCCAGGAGGAAGTGCTGCTGGTGCCCTTGGGCAGTGCACACCCTGTACAACCCTACAGGCGACCAGCCAGAGGCCCCTCAGCCAGTGAGGGGGGCTGAGCACAAATAGGCCGGCCAAGTGCTCGGACTCCCCTCCCCTTGGCCTTTGGTTAGAGCAGCCTCTGCCTCCTGCAACCCCCCCACCGAACACCCCCTGAATCTCACCTTCCCTGACAGCGGCGTGAACCGGCAGACATGCAATGGGGCCTCCCCGCTCTACCTGGCCTGCCAGGAGGGACACCTGCATCTGGCCCAGTTCCTGGTGAAGGACTGCAGTGCCGACGTGCACCTGCGTGCCCTCGATGGTGTGAGTGTGCTGCACGCTGCCGCCGCCCGCGGCCACTACTCACTTGTCGTCTGGCTGGTACGTGGGGGTGTCGGGGGGGCAGGAGGCTCCAGGAAGGCTGGGAGCTGCTCCTTCCTCAGCCCCAGAGCTGCCTCCGAGCAAGCAGGGCCTGGCTGGGGTGGGGCTCTGCCTCTCTGGGCTCAGTCCCAGGGAACCTGGGGACCCACGGGGCCGTGGGGGGCGGGATGTGCCTGGCTGTCACTCTGAGCACCCGTGTGTGCCGGCTCAGCCTGGGGCTGCAGGTTTGACTGGCAGTGGCCCCGCAGCACAGCGGGGATGCGCAGCAGCGCCCCCGGGGATCTGGGGAGCCTGCCCCCAGGACTCCCGCTGGGTTTCCTGGTGCTTGCTCGGAAGCCACACGGGGCACCGGGCACCGGGCACCTGCTCCTGGCCCTGACCTTTCGGCCACTCGCTCCTGCGGCACTGCTCAGAGCCCCCGGCCAGTCCCCGCTCTCTTCCCTCCTGGACCCATGGAAGGCTCCTTCGGGCCTCTTTCTGGAAGGAAGCCCCAAGACCAGGACACAGGCTGGCCCAGGGTGGGGGGCGCCTCCCACTTCTGTGCCAGGCCCCCTCCTTGCCATGTGCCCCGCCCAGGAGGCCCAGGAGCGGTCAGCGCCTCAGCCGGTGGTCCTCCCCCACGTCCCCCAGGTCACCTTCACCGACATTGGCCTGACGGCTCAGGATGACGAGGGGGCCACAGCCCTCCACTTCGCGGCTCGAGGCGGCCACACACCCATCCTCGACCGGCTCCTGCTGATGGGCGCACCGGTCGTGACGGACTCCTGGGGTGGGACCCCCCTGCACGATGCAGCAGAGAACGGGCACGTGGAGGTAAGGCGGGCGAGGTGGGGGGCTGCGCAGGGGCCCTGGAGCCCCCGGAGCTGGCAGGCC